CGAGAGTCAGGCACCAACAAAAGAGGTGATTAAACGACATGAACACTGCAACAAAAACCATACGAGACTAAAAAACAGTTTATTTGTCGACGACATTTGGCCTTCGCCACATACATCTAAGGCTGTATTCAAAGTAACGTTAACTCTTCGCTTTTGCTCGCATTACTTGATGCAACAAGACCGCTACCTTGGATAACCTTTGTTAATCTGTCGAATTCCCGTTTTCTCCTCCCTTATCCCCATCCCGTTACCTGTACAATTACTGGTCAAGTTACACAGATGGTTTTGAATCAAGACTCCTTGACCTTTGTGGCACTGACTTGCTGGAAGAATCCACGCCGGGTCATGGACCAACCCCCCCCCCCCCTTCTCCATATTTTAGTGGCCTTTCTTCCATCTTCTTGAAGCACAAGGCCGCTGTAGCGATTATTACACAAACGGTACAAAACTTTTCAACTGAAACACTGCCCGTTGAGAATACGAACGGAGTTGTTTTGAAACCAGATTATCTCTTTAAGTGTTTTTTTTTTTTTTTTTTTCGTTATATTCTTCGTCTTTCCCCGCCTGGTACCATCGTCCCTCTCTCGCCCTACCCTTCATTTGTCTTTTTTGTGCTCCCTAACTCAAACGAGACAGGGAGAGAAGGAGACAAAAAGGTTAAAATGAGAGACCGTTTTAGTATTATGCTTGTTGCTATTTGTTACCTTGGCGCCATCTACGGCGAGGCTTATTCTCTGGTCTTGGTGCCATGCTGTGATACAGCTAACGCATGAGAGTATAAAAGTGGAAACTGGAAACACGCTCTCAATGAACCAGCAGATCGGCTACAATTATCGTCCTGAAGAGAACAAACTCTGGATGATTTTGTGCTATACGAATAAATTAATGTTGAAAATACGTTGAGAAAGTAACAAGGACACGTTTGTTCCAAATACACACAGTCAAAGGTACCGGCGAGGTTGAAAAAGGTGGACATCAAGTACGCGCCACAACAGACGCGGATGCAATATAACAAGTCAACGGCCAAGGGGTCAAAGGGATGTAGCGTCAGTGCGCATCCTTTTTATTTCTATCTCTTTGACTCCCGTCCTTCCGCCGTTGTGCACACCAAAAAAAGAGGGAAATAAAACGAAAAGCCAAAAGGCGAAGAGTTTTACTCGTACCACAGATCCGATCTCTTCAGTCTATTGTCAGGAGCACACCTGCAATGTAGAGGTGAAAAAAGGAATCAGAGCCAAATTCTTGCAAATCCATTCAACTCCAACATATCGACCGTAGCTTGCCTTGTTCATGATTGAGAGCTGAAAACTGCTATTTTACTTCTCCTTTGCAGGTATACACATATGGACGCATAAAGGTAGATGATTACTTTCATTTAGAAAAAATAATACTCTGAAAAATAGATCATCTTGGACAAGGCGGCGAGCTGGGCTGTCGTGCTCACCGACTTCTGATACTGTTTGCTCAACCTCACTGGCCCATAGACTACTTTATTCTGGCGGTGTTCGAGCCTCTCTTTCATGCATCATTCTTAATTAACGAGTAGCTGCAGATGCCACGTGTGTCGAGTCAAGCGAGCAGGCCGTCAGTTTGTCTCTTCTGCCCTAGGCTGGACGACCTGTCTCGTATTTGATTTATTTATTTTTCGCCTCTGTTTTGCCTTTCATTTTGTTGGCCGTCCTTTGTTCTACAAGGACTTTGCCGGTACGTATGGGAGCACGTCGGTCCACGGATGGACGGCTGGCAAAAGGCAGGCGGGAAGGAAGGAAACGAGGGGAGAGGGAGGAGACGATGGCAGGGAGAGACAAGGGCTCGAAAAGAAGAAAGAAAAAAAAAAAAAAAAAAAAAAAAAAAAAAAAAAAAAAGAGATGAGACATCCAGATATGAATTCCACGGTTAGCCACCAGTTCATGATGTGTCGGCGCTGCAGGTAACCGCGCCACTCGTCTCGTGCCTAAGAGAGTGTGAAAAGGAGGTGCTGGGTGTTTTCCAAGGTTGCAGTTGTTCGATTCTTGCATGCTGAATTTTCGATTTCTTCTGTTTTGGCAAGCTGCGAGCTCACCTCTTCACCTTCACAAAGGCGGTGACCCGCAACTACCCGCCATCTCATTTGTCATTTTCACCTCGCCTTTTGGCCAGCCACAAACTCACAGCTCTCGGCCAGACCGTGGACTCAAATAAAAGTCATGGCGAGGAAATGGTAAATGGTCAGTGACGTGGGGCTCCGGCATGGGCGACGGCGCTGTCTACCTGCCTATCCCCATCTACAATATTGGACTATTGGCAAGAGGCGGGCCGGGGACGAAGGGTAATGTTTGTGGTTGCTCACTTGTCTGATATCATATTTTGGTATTTTGTATTTTGTATTTTGTATTTTGTTTTCTGAGCCCTTCCGCCTGTCATTTGATTTTTTTTCGTCACATTTGTGTCGTCTGTCCCGCCCTGCCTAGACTGGTTTCACGGTGTTGCCGACTCTTCGCTAACTTGCGTCTTCTCAGGCTCCAGTGATGCTCACATTCTTGTCCATTGGACCGTCATTCGTGCCCTTGTGTTTTTGATTTCGCCGTGATTCGCTCCCATTTCGGAAGGGTGGTGTGCACCACTTCATCTCCTAATCTACCCATCTACCTCGTAGCCAGTCCCTGTGTATCCCAAGGTCCGTCTTTGAACCCGCCGCTCATATTCCGATGCATACTGCCTTGTCACTGGCAGAGTTGTTGGCAGCAAGAGACAAACCAACCGTGGCAATGTCATGCTGGTTGGCGTATGCATAACCAAAACAGGACAGCGGAATTGTTTTTTTTGTGGCTTCTCTTTTGGTTTCCATGCAGCCAGCCTTTCTTCTCTGGAGCCCAATATGCGGCATGCGAGTCCTGGAGGCCAACAGACCAAAGGCCCGACCCAGTAGATTCTCTCTTCTCCTTTCTACTCTCTTGTTTCTCTTCTTTTCCACTCCTTTTTGTATCCGTTTGTTGTAGTTGTTCGGTCGACGAGGGTAGCCAAGACCATGTCTTGTATCTTCGTTGTTGTTATGCGTTTCCCGCCATTCTCGTTTTTTTCCCCTTTCCCTTCAACCCCAGCAGTTCCCGTCTTTGATCCGCTTCGACAAAATTGTCGACGGCTCTCTCTGCCTCTTTCTCGCCTCTGTCTCCCTTCTCCAACGAAAAGTCGACTCTGTCACTTTTGTGGGCAGCAAGGTAAGAGTGTCGGCAACCGCTTGTTTTTCCTCGCTTCTGTCGCTCGTTCCGTGGTCGTGTTCGATCACTTGTCATTTTGTGACTTGCTCCGTTTTTCAAGCTACCTCTTCCTCTCCAAGGAAGCCCGCCCACCACCCCAGTCTCCGACAATTTTGGCGGTGGTCGATATGTGCAGGGAGACGGCCGCCAATTTACAGCAAGAAGACAGCACAAGGGTCCAAGAGTCGCCGTGGATTCGCACGTCTTCCAAGTATTTTCTAGAAAGGAGGCCCGACTCCAGTTGATCATGAGACATCGTAAACAAAGAAAGGAGAGGCGGCAAGGGCCAAGCACCCAAGCACCCAAGCACCCAAGACAGAACCGACTCCACAATGCAGGCCATTGCCCTCTACATGCTGCTGTCCTTGGTCCGTCTGTTGCTCGAAGCACGCACACCGACAATATAGATGAGGTTCAGCGTGGCCCGACACCTGTAGAACGTGATTTTGGTGCAAATCGAGGCGGAACAGCGGCATCTGCACGGGCTGTCTCTGACGAGATGGAATCCCGTCATGCTTGCGCGAGCGAGAGAGACAGACGAGAAAGGATGGCCAGATCGGTGCCTGACACATGCAAGGCGGGAAAAGAAGGTGAGCAAGACGAGGGTGCCGTAGACGCACAGGTGTAGAGAAAACAGGACATGGCAGCGAAGACAGCAGAAGAGACGATACGGCAAGGTGTAGGTCAAGGTGGGCCGGAGATCGGGCACAGACGTTTTGTTTTCACACATGGATGCATCCAAGAATAGAAGGAAAGACCGACTGTCAACATTGAAAGGGCAGTTGCAACAACAAAAAAAGGAAAATGGAAAAAGTGGAAAGAGCAGCTGGAAAGAATGGAACTTCAGGCAAGAGCCACCAGGCGGTACCTTCCACACCTTTGAATATTGGGGGTAGAACGTGAAGCCTCACCCGCAGCGGACAGGCCGCTCCTGCCCGCTTGGTACGAGCGTACTGTCTGTCATGAAGCACACCCGCCCTGACCTCTGGTCGTTGCTTCCTGCTGTTCTGCTGTTGCTCTCCGCCGCTCCTGCCCAGTATGGCTTTGTATGCGTGCGACCATAGCCATATAAGCCTTCGCCCCCCTCGCTCTCTTCCAGCTGCCTCTTTTCTCTCCCCTTCTCATAGCCTCTTTCACACTGTCGCCGGCCACCTTTTCACTCATTGTGCTCATTGTGCTCATTTTACCCTACCCCGTTTCTTTCTCCCAGTCTCGTCGTGGTTGTCTGGTCGGGTACAACATCACCCTTGGCCACTGGAAATCCCAGCTTGCACCGGTGAGCCACCACCCCCTGGCGCCGTCATTCACCTGAACGCCAAACAAAGCAAAAGACGATCAAGACAGGCACGTCAAAGGCCGTCTTACAAGACGACACTCTGGTGCTCACCACTTTCACCTATATCACATTGTCGCACCCCTCCCCTATCCTATTGTCTTCTATCAGTTTCTCTACCGCCTCGCATTTGCTCATTTGCTCATTTGCTCATTTGCTCAGTTGCTCTTGTCTTCACGTTTTTGTTTCTCCCCTCTTCTTCTTTCCACCTCTCTTCGTTCGGGTCCATTTAACTCGGCCTCCTTGTCTTGTCACGTTGGGCTGCCGTCATTTTCAAACGAGAGGCTCAAAATATGTCCGTGTCTACCCTCTTGCACCCAAAGGGACCATCTGTGCAGGTCACAACATCTCCATCCCAGGGTCATCCCGGCCAGACATTTGGATCTCCATCGAGCGTCTCGTCTCCATCGTCCTCTTTCGCATCAACGCCGATGGCTACGATGATGGAATCACCGGCCACGGTGTACAGCGACAACCTGTACCCGGTGGCCAGCCGGAGCCATATGGTCAGCGGGTCGTCCCAAGGCCCGTTTGTCGAATTCGCTCGAGCGCATCCCAAAGGCGCCGTCCGTTTCCGCCCGTTCGAGCACGGCCTCGATGCCACTGCGAGACGGTGTATCGAGGAGTTCCAGATTTACCCATTCGAAAGCATCGAGGAGTTTTGTCGACACATCCCGTATGCCAGCGGCAAGAAAGACTTCTTTGAAAAGACGGGCCGAGAAAGCTTCGAAGGTAAGAGACCCTTGCATTGCTAAACGTCTCGGCCCATGCTACTTGTTGTCCAAGTCGTGCTCACCGATCAGTCTTCCAATATGTCTTCAAGGTCCCCGGCGATGACAAAGAGTACCACGTCATGTGGGATTACAACGTCGGCCTCGTTCGCATGACCCCGTTCTTCAAGTGCTGCAAGTACAGCAAGGTACGTGACAACAGCGTCTGTGTGGAGAATGAGCACCCAAAGATGAGATGAAATCAATTCCCATCGGACAGTGAACGGGCCGCGGCCGGACTACTAACACGATAAAAACATCAGACGACGCCGGCAAAAATGCTCAACCTAAACCCGGGGCTCCGCGAAATCACGCATAGCATCACCGGGGGTTCAATCATGGCCCAAGGTACGTCTCGTCTCTTTCATGGCGTTGGCGACAGTCATGCCCACATACTCACAAGCGAAATAAAAGGCTACTGGATGCCTTACTCCTGCGCGAGAGCAGTCTGTGCTACATTCTGCTATCACATCGCCGGGGCCCTCATTCCGATATTCGGACCAGACTTCCCGTCCGATTGCTTGCCTCCCCAGTCGTCCGACTTTGCACGCATGGTTATCGACCCAATTCTTGTTGCAGAGGCAACTCGAGAGACGGAGCTCATGCGACAGGACGTTATTCAGGCCCTAGAAGATGGGACCACGACGTCAACTTTCCATCAGAGTCGGATCCCACAGCCGCATGGCGGCTCGCAAGGCACATACCAGCGGCCAGATATCCATTCCCGTCCTTCAAGTATGCATCGCCGAATCCTACCACCGCCCGAATCTCTGTACGTCCGCCACATCGCCGACGCGCTCGAGGACGGAAGGCCACAACTCGCTCCAATCAACTACTCGGCGCCGCAACATGATGACCTTCTCCTCCCGTCGCCTGTAGAGCACGGGAGACTGCCTCCCCTAACTCGAATGCCTGTTCCCTCTTCAGTCACATTGCCAAATCTCTTTCGCCGTGACGCGCATACACGGGATCGACATGGCCACGGTGCGAGAAACAGCCACAACTACACTACAGACCACACTTACCAGCGAGAACACCAATCGCTGCCCTCTTTGAGAATGGGTTATGAGTGCGACATTCCCAGCTCAACTGAAGAGCTTTCCAGGCACACTCAGCCAAGGCGGCCACATTTGGACTCACCGCCGTCGCCCCGTCTAATTTTACCAGACCAGCAGGTGCGCTGGAGACCGAAAGTGGAGGAAACGCAATCGTCGGTGCCGCGGGTCGGCAGTGCCCTTCAAGCGACTCTTTCGAATTCGAATCCCGGCTTCGAGCATCGAAGGGGTGTCGCCGACAATGGACACCAAGATGGCGGCCAAACCCACTTTGCACCATCGTACTGCTACCCATCTCCGCCACGCAGACAACACGCTCATCTACGCCATTCCAGCGAGGACGAGAAGAAACCACACTCGGGACCCATGCTCGTTCTTGTCAAGGACGAAGTGAAGTACGCGACGGCCCTAGAGACAGACAAGAAACCAATAGGGCCAGTCGACAACCAAGGGCACGATGCACATTACCATCCCCTACAGAAAACGCCAACCAAGCGCCGCAAAGCCAAGGTCAGTGGTGGTGTGGCGGGGCCATCGTCGTCATCTTCATCCTGGAATGCCACCGATGTGGATGCGGCCGAAGTGCTCGTCAACTTCAGTGTTAAGATGCAGGCACCTGACACCTTCAATGATGGCCGCCGTCCAGACACAAAGAAGCCGAAAAACGACCCACGACTCATCGCAAGCATAGCATCGCTCCTGTGTGACGATGAAGTTCCATGCAACAAGCGGCGCAGGTCGTAGTCGGCGAACAGGAAAGGGCAGAGAGAGGAAGGCCCATAAGGTGGGATGGAGTCTGGTGATAGGAAAGGTAAAGACTGTTCGGTTGATTTAATTTGGCCATTTATCTTGGAAAGTTTTGAGTTCCACTGAGTCCGTCACTGCTGTTTTTTGTTTTTTTGTTTTTTTTTTGACTTGTCATTGTGAGTTTTTTATTGCGATTTCTTGTCTACTTTGTTTTCCTATTTTACGTTTTTTGTTCATTCTCAATTTATTCTCGGTGAGGATGAGGATTGGATATTCGTTAGACGGAGCCGAGAGGCGTGATGCTTTGTTATTTGCTTTTACTTGGTAATGTTCTTTGACATTTAATTGATTTTTTTTATTTATTCTTTTGGTATATTTTCGTTTTTTTAAAGGTATTTTGGTATCAATGATAATTCAAAGTCCTCCCTCACTTTGCGGTCTGCTCCCCTCGTTCTGCAGCCTTTTTCTCTTTAAATTCACGCACCCACGACTCGGCCTGCTCCCTGGGCACGACAAAAACGCGAACAACCTCGTCAACAACTTCCACGCTCGCCTGCGCCAGGATCTTGCCCAGCGCCATCTTCTTGCCGACCTTGACCAGGCTGCCGGACATCGTCTCCATATAGCAGTCAACGCCCGCCGGTGTCGCATAGTCCTTGGCCGTCGTGTCCCACGGTACCGGCAGGATGTACGCCAGGTGGTCGCCGAGGCTCTCCGTCTCGTTGAAGGCCTTGATAAAGTCAGACTGCAGCGTCAGCGGGTACAGGAGCACCGTCGGGTAGCTGACCGTGCTCTTGGACACGTCGAGGTCGTACGTGCCGTCGTCCTCGGGCTCCAGCCGCACCGCGGCATCCTCCATCTCGGGCGGCTGCGCCGTCGTGCGCGTGCGCACACCACGCAGGCGCAGCACCGCCCGCAGGCGCTGTTTCTTGCGCGTCTCGCGCGCCACGCGCTCGTCCTCGCGGCGCTTGCGGGCCGCCACCATCTCGGCGCGCGCGGCAATGTCCTTGCTGAGGCGCAGCAGCGACGCGTTCTGGGGGTCGACGGCCAGGCCGCCCGCACAGGCCTCGTCGGCCTCGTCGGTCTTGTCGAGGGCCAGCAGCGCCTTGGCACTGCGGAACCAGGCCTTGGTGTTGGCCGAGTTGAGGCGCAGCGCGCAGCCGCAGTCGAGCGTGCACGACCGGTAGTTGCGCAGCTCCAGCTGGCAGGCGGCGCGGTTGCCGTACAGCTGGGCCAGCAGGGCGTGCTGCTGGGCGACCTGGTCCGGCGTGTCCGGGTCGTCGGGCATCTTGCCGTCCTCGTCGGCCTCCAGCTTGGGCGCCTCGCCGCGGGCACGGCGCTTGTCTTCGGCAGTGAGGAGGGCAATACCCTTGCCGTAGAACTCGCGGGCGTCGGCCCACTTGGACTCGCGGAAGCACTCGTTGCCGCGCTCCTTGAAATCGCCGGCGTTCTCAAAGGGCGTGCCCTCGTAGGCAAGCGCCTGCAGCGCGGCGATGTCGTCGTTGTCCTCGAGGTCGGTCATGAAGAGGGGCGACTTGTTGAGCTCGGCGAGAATCTCGTCCGCGGTCTTGCCACTTGTGAGCGCCCTGGCCGGTGGCAGCTCCGGGCCCGCGACGGTTGGTTCTGATGCCCCATCTTGTGCCGGCCGTGATGTGGAAGCAGCTGGCGCTGGCGCTGGCGCTGGTGCTGGTGCTGTCGATGGTGCCGGCGCTGGCTGTGCCTCTGCCTTTTTCACCTTGCCGTCGTTATCAGTTGCTGGGCTGGTGTCACCTAGCTTCAACTTCTCGGCCACCTCATCTGAAATCTCTTTCAGCTGCACCATACTGGATACGTGTGGTAAGTTGCTTCTCTCGATTTATGAAAATAAGTACGTGTAACAAGGGCGAGGTGGTGTCATTGATGAATTTTCTGACTGATATCGGCGTTTGTCTCTAGCCCAGTTGTAACCTCACAGTGGGTGACAGCCTTGATGAGTAAGCTAAGTTTAGCCATTTTAGTGGTCTTGACACGTCCAGCTATGTATTCCGCCAAAACCAACCCAAAAATAAAACAAACGCAAAACTTTTCTGTAAAAGTGCATCATTATGCTCGCGACGGCAGAAAACCTTCAAAATCCCAGACAAAAAAATCCTTTGCCCAGAAAGACAGAGCGCCATGCTCGAAAGCTCAAGAAAAAACCAACTCCGAATCATCAATAAACGCCAAACCAGAAACGCGGTGTCCAACGAACACGCTCGCTGAATGAACAAACAAATAAAACAGAAACGACCAGTAGTAAACACCGGGCGGAAGCGATAAAGCACAAAGGCATTAGGAGGGGTCTGTGGAAAGAGCACTCAGACAACTCTGCCATCGTCCTCGGAGGACTGGACAGTCGACGTGTGCAGGGTGGCCGGCGGCGTGCGGTCAACCGAGAAGCACTGCAGCGCACCGACCAGCGCGACAAGCGCAGCACCGTACCACGCCAGGGCGGTGCAGTCGATGCGGCTGCCGACCGTGTACAGGTAACCCGCAATGGGCGGGGCGACCATGCGGCAGGCGGCGCCGGCGCTGGCGGCCATGCCGTTGACTTTGCCGAGCACCGAGGGCGAAGGCGTGGCCTCCTTTACGAGGATGAGCAGCAGCGGGTAGACCAGGATGGCAAAGAGGTTGCGCAGGGCCATGCAGGCGTAGATGGCCGGGTACAGCCACGCGGCCGGCACGTACAGTAGCCAGGGGACGACGACATAGGCGAGCGGATGCAGGATGGTGACCAGCATAAACAGGCGGCCGACACCGAACCAGGACGCAGCGAGTGGGAAGACGACGGCCTGGACAAAGAGGGCAATGACGCCGTTGATGGCCATGATCATGCCGACGGCGCGCAGGGAAAGCCCGAGTCCGCCCGGGGAGTACAGGGGGTTGAAGGAAAAGGAGCCGCCGGTGCTGTCCCCACTTGGAAATGGAACGACACGGTCGTCCTCAAAGAAGATGGGCAGCGTGGAGTCGTAGGCCATGCTGTGGTACGAAAAGATGGCAAGCGCCAGCACGACAGCCAAAATGCGACGCGAAAAGATGTTGACAGAGGCAGCGGGTGTTGTGGTGGTTGGTTTGTGGCCTGCGGCAAAACTGGCCGTGGGCTGGCGGGTGCTGGTGGTGGTGGTCACAGAGTCGGATGTGGGCGTCCCCTCCTCGCGGTCACGGTCGCGGTTGAACGTTCCATACGTCTCGGCACGCAGGTCGACGGCGGGCCGCTTCAACGCGTCCGATGTCTCCAGCAGTGGCGTCTCGTCCGAGACGTACGTGCTGCGCTGTTGCTGGTTGTCGTCAAAGTCGAGGGCGGTTTTGGACGCGACGACGGGCGGCTGCAGGTCCGGGTGCGTTTCTTCGAGGAGAACGTAGCCCATCACGATGCTAATGAGTAGCAGGAGCGCGCAGAGCAGGTTGGGCAACAAATAAGGAAAACGGTCAAACAGGCTCCCGCGGGGAAACAGCTCGGGGAAGGACGCGTGCGGGGCGGCAAACGTGCCGCCAAGGGCAGGGCCGATGATGGTGCCGATGCTCCAGACGAAGGGCATAATGGAGTACGCGCGGGCTGCAAGACGTCAGTTGGACAAATTCGCAAATGGGGCACGCAAAATGTACGGGGGAAGGGGAGGGACTCACGCTCATGTTCGGGCTTCTTGACCAGCTCGCCGACCATGGTCTGGATGACGCCAATGTTGCCGTTCAGCAACCCGCCCATAACACGGCCCAGCAACGCCACCCAGATGTTGCGGGCCATGCCGACGACGATCATGCTCAGCATGGTGCCGATGCAGCCGACCAGCAGCACGGGTTTGCGGCCGATGCGGTCGGATAGGCCGCCCCAGTACATGCCCATGAGAGCCTCGGCGAGCGAGAAGGAAGAGATGAGGATGCCGGCGTAGAAGGAGGCATCGCTCTCGTCGCCGATCTGGAAGTGCTTGACAAGGGCCCAGGCATAGGGGAAGATGGACGTGAGCGCAATGGGCTCGGCCAGACGGACAATGGCTGTGACGAGGTTAGCTTATGGTCGTTTTGAGGGTCGTGTTGAGGGTCGTGGTATTGTCGCGGGTTGGTTCTTACCTAGAATAAATAGCTGAAAGGCAGGAAACGCATCCGGATCGCGACTTAATCGTTGTTGGAATAGGCCCATGGCTCTTCGTCTCGTCTCGTCGTTTTGTCTTGCGGCTGTCTGGTCTATATCGTACGAGGAGATATAGAACAGTTGACGACGGGGCTGTCCTTTGCTCTGTAGGCGAGTATTTTCTGTTTCAAAGACGTCTGCGTTGTCTCTTTGAGTCTTTTTTTCTTTTTGTTTCTCGCGTTACAAAATAATGTACGAAGACAAACAGTTTAGTTTCACTAGGAACAGGCACAAGAAGACAATAAAGATATATTTTTACATGAAAAGAAAAGTAAAGAAAAAAAGGAAAAAAGGAGGGGGGAGAGAACAGAAAAGGAGGGGGCAGGTTGCTTCTGTATTTATTTTGTCTTGCCACAAGGAAATTATAGGAAAAGTGTAGTCGAGGGCGGTCAGAAGGGCCGGTGGAAAAATGAAAGGAAACGAAAAGAAAGGTGGGTGACGGACGGCGGACGACAGACGACAGACGGTGGTCGGCTGGCGGTTGTCGGCGTCTCCTTCAAAACAATCAATTTCAGGCTTATCTAGCTCATGAGCTAACTCTATGCACTCGAAAGGAGGGGGAGAGGGGAGGTCTTTGGCTGCAATAATCTCCTGCACGACGGCATGTGTCACTAGACGGTGAGCAGACGGGATATAGAAAACGGGAACGAAATAAAAGGACGAGAATATGGAGGGGGCAAAAAAAAAAGGGTCAAGGGGCATTAGTTAAAACGTAACAACAAAGCCAAAAACGCGAGGAGAAGACGAACAGAGGTTCTCGCCAGGTTATCGAATCGGATGGAAAAGAGAAAAACGGCGGGACCAATGCAAAGACCAGACCGACCAGGCGGCAGACAGCGGCGCTAGCATATGCAACGGGAGGCTTGCAGGGAGGGGGTCTAGAGGGGGGGTGTAGGAACAAAGGCATACTGCGTACGTCGTATTACGCCGTGCTGAGATCCACTGAGGGCGTTTTGTTTGCTGGAGATGTGTGGGTTTTCGGGATAATCTGGAACGGATTCGCAAAGATACCATGAATGGACACGCTGCAACGTTATCATTGTACGTCCTATGTCGCTCTTCTCGATGCAGATGCGAGCAATTCAGGCAATGCAGGCGATGCAAGCAATGCAAGCAATGCAAGCAATGCAGGCGATACAAAGGGATTGCTGCTTTATCTTTCTAGAGCACCACCGTGTAGCATTCTCTGTCGCGGCCGTCGCGACACCAACCTGAAGAGTTGGACGAGCACAAAATCGTCAAAGTCGAGATAAAGAAGTCGAGGAAAGTCGTCTGGGCTCCGATTTAGATTGAAAAAAAAGGGCGGAGAACGGGTGTATACGCTGCAGAGGAGGCCATTCCGACGAGGAGACATGTGAACAAAAGTGCATTACCCAATGGGGACTTGTTGTGTGTTGATCCCGAATAGGTTTAGAACTGGGAAGAAAAGACGGGAAAAAAAAACAAAGTCAAGTTGCCAGGGCGGGTGGCAAAAAGAGGAAAAAAAAGACAACACAAGACGGCGAAACAGTGGCAAGAGCACCCAGGCCATACTGTGAACGTCTTGGAAAGCGCGTTCAACTGCTCTTTCCCGTCCTTTGCTTTTTCGTGTTGTTGTCGGTTGTTTCTTCTTCTTTTGGACATTCCGTTTTCTGCTCTTTCCTTCGCTTTTGTTTTCGTTGCAGTGCATTGTTTTCACTGGGAAAGCGCGGTCTCAGGGCGTACTCCTCGTCGCTCTTTCCCCTCTCATAAACGCCGTTCAAGGATGTGCGAAGAAGGTCACAATGGCATGGGCAAGTGCGACTGACTCGTTTTTCGTGTTCTTGCTCCATTCGTCTTGCCCCTCTTCAGTCGGACGCCGTATTTCCTGTCCTGCTAAATTTTCAGACTGGGAAGGAGGGGGCCAGGCCCGAGACCCGAAGCTAGCCACGGCCTCTAAGTCACAAAAGGACGCTACGAGGCTAACTTTACAGGGAACATCGGGGGCAAGACCTGGCCGTCGACGCTCCACAACGACAACAGCCGAAAACGGAGGTGACAGGCATGCAGAAAAAGCCAAGCCATGAGAAGATGGTGTGGACGGTCAGATTAGGTTGTGTCCAGCTGCATTATTGCATGACTCTTCAAGTAGGCGAGAGGTGTGACGAGATAATACATGGAATTGTGTGAGGAGGATGTTTCTTTAGATTTGTATGGCATTAAATGTCGTGAAGGATGAATAAATAGAGCATACATATTAAAGAGAACGATATAGTAAAAAGGAATTTATGAGAGCTGCAAGCAAACTGGCACTTTGATGTAATACATTCTCCTTTTTATCTTGATGTACTACACACTCCTTTTTATCCTTCACTCGAATATCTTTTTATTCTTTCCTTCATTTCCTTACTGCGGTAAATTCATAAATTCATCGATAACCACAACCTGCTTCTACAAACCGCTGCCCATCGTCTGTGGTGAGTGAGATTATGCAGCTCATCTGCAGCGCACGTCCACGTCTGCACGCACGTACGTAACAGCTGCAGCAGAAAATGGCGTGCGCAGCATCCAGCCCTCTCTCGGGCGTAATTACACGGCACGTTGTAGATCTCTCCCGTGAAGCGGCTGGCTGTTGCCGTTGGCTATTGGTCGTTGGCCGAGAGAATTAGCGACCGAGTACTGCCAAGATAAGAGAGAGCAAGAACCGGACTGCAGACATCGTCAACCGTTCCCCCACGCAAAAGTACAACCTCTGTGTCTTCCACGATACAAGCGAACACGGCATCCCGTCGGCTCTCCCAAGCTAAACCGCTAATCGGCGGGTGAGTAGTCGGGTCGGTGATGAAAGCGAATACCCGCTGCAGCACGTTTTGCCAGATTTTTGCCAATTGTTATCTTTTCAACAAATGCGGATGTGGACGTAGATATACGTAGATATAAAGATGCATGTTAGCTGCAGTAGCTCCCGCCCGTGCCCTTTGCTTATTCCTCCAAACGAGGTTGTCCTTCTTCGGTGGGGGTCACAACGTCAACCTTCATGTAGAATGTTCTTATATCTCCCTGCCAAGATATGTTTCCGCGCGAGAGCGAGACTCATCCCGCCATGCGACATTGTTGCTTCACGGGTGTCTGACGACACCAGACTGAATCGTATCGCCAATCCGTCGAAGCTGATCGCATCCGTATTATTCTATTCCATTTTATATAGCCGTATTCCCACGCCCTTTTAGTGCACATATTTCATCGTGCCGGCATCGCCAATCACCGACCAGAACTCTTCCACCAGCTCACGGCCCCCTGACGGCGCACCACGCACCGCCAGGTACAGCCGGCTGTCCAGTGCTGGCTCCCAGTTGCCTGGGTTGCCGCTGGCCACGAACCCGCCCGCCTCGGACAGGATGCACCACCCGGCGCAGACGTCCCACGCGTAGCACCCGCCCTCCCAGTAGCAGTCCAGCTGTCCGGCCGCAACGGCGCAAAAGTTGAGCGCTGCCGAGCCCAGAGACCGCAGGCTGTGGACCATGGCATTCTTGCCCACGGCCCCCTCCTTGGCGGCCTCCTCCTTGGCGGCCGCCAGGCGCTGGAACACGCCGACCTTGAGGTCAAAGTTGGCGCCCTGCCGGTCCGAGCCCCACTCAATAGCCACGAGCGCCGAGCCCAGCCCGTTCAGCTCCGGCGCCTCTTGCACGTCGCCGCGGCCCACCAGCGGCAGTCGCAGCTTCTGGCTGGCCACGGTGCTCCCGTCCGGCGCCGGCGCGTTCCGGCTCAGAGACGCATTGCGCTCCATAAACGAGCCCTTCTCCTTGATGCCCGTGTACAAGACGTCGAGGAACGGGTTGTAGACGACACCGACGACAGGGCGGCGGCCGACCGCGAAGCCGAGGCTGATGCAGGCGTGCGGGAAACCGTGGACAAAGTTGGTGGTGCCGTCGATCGGGTCGACAATGAACGTGGGCGCATCCGTGACGCGCGTCTCGCCGGCGACGTACGTCTCTTCGCCGACAAACGCGCACGTCGGGTAGTCGGCGCGGAGACGCGCGTAGACCATGCGCTCGACGGCCTGGTCGGCTTCTGTGACGAGATCCACGGCTGTGGTCCATTCGTCAGTACGGCAGTCACTCACATACCCGTCCCGGGCCCCTAGGAATTCCACTCACAGTTCTTCTTGGTGCCCTTGGGGATGTTGTTGGGGTCCGCCGCCAGGATCATGCGGCCCGCCTCAAAAGCAATCGACACGAGTGTGTCGTGCACCGCCTGCAAGTCAATGTCGGTCATTGTCGTGTGTGTGTGGTATGGAGGAGGCTGGGTGTCGGTAAAGACGTAGCAACGCTGTGTTCAGCACAATTGGCGAGGTGAGGATCAAAATAATAAAAAAGAAGGATGACGGATGAGGCTCGACGAGATACTGTATCGGCCGCATCACTTAGTATCTCGCGAAATTATAGTGGGGTCGTTGGAGAGGGGTCGCTAAAGGACGGCGCTTGGCACGTCAAATCCCAATGGCGAGAGGTGATGTCACAAACGCGACAGCTCATTCGACGAGTTAAGGATGCTCTGCACATCACGGTATGAATGATAGGATAGAGCAACACCAAAAAGACTTTAAACCCAAGAAGGGAAACATACCAATGACACAGCAGCTCGAATAAAAAGGAAAGTCAGAAAAGAACACCCGCCAAAAAAACCAGTGTTTTAATACGCCAGAAACGCCTTTCCGCCTTTTCAAGACATGGGACTCGGCGCGCCTTTGCACCAGCCCACTGGAACCCAAAAGCCAATGCCAAAAATAAAGCCAAACAAAGCCAAACAAAGCCAAACAAAGCCAAAACAGATGGAAGAACGAAACCTAGAAACAAAACCGAAGCATACTCGATACGACCCATATTCCAGTGATTTCAGAGAAACAAACAGTGGCGTTAAAAAGACGGCCCATAAAGGCAGAACCTGCGCATCTCATATCCCCTGTTGGAATCGTGGCCGCGGGTCTCCAGTATTCGACCAGCCGCCCACGTCGCCTGCCCACAGCCCCTGTAGCCACTATACCGTTGCTCCCCAGAGTCTATACATTCTCGTGGAACATGGACCGGCGCTCCGTCGGGCTCTCGGGGTTGTGGCCGTCGTTGTGGCCGTCGTGCACGCCGGTATCGATCATTGGCCGAGGGCTCACGCCGCGCAGGCTGATGTTGCTCGGGTCAGCAGCGTCGTCGTCAAACGGGTTGGGGGCGCCGCCGCCGCCGCCACCGCCGCGACTTGCGCTCGTCGCCGGGTGTGGGCTGCGTCCGCGCGCGCGGCCGCGCTCCTCAAAGGCGCCGTCGCCATGCGAGGGTGCGGCAGCTGGGACGTTCATGTCGTAGGACGAGCCGCCCATGCCGCCACCACCGAGATACGCCGTGTCGGCGCGTGCTCCGCCGCCGCCGGCGCCACCCACGTTCAAGCGGCTGCTGTTGGCGTGCGGGTTGCCGCCGGCGTGGAGGCCCAGCTCCTGCTCTTCGTTGTAGTAGTAGGCGTCGGCCTCGGCGCCGACACGCGAGTCCCAGGCATCGTCCGGGTCGAGAGGGCCGAAGCCATGGCGCGCGGCACCCCGGCCCGATGTGCCGGCACCCTCGTAAGCGCCCGCTGCGGTGCGGTTGTTGCGGCCGCCCTTGAGGCTACGGAAGCGGTCCTGGAACCAGCCGCCAATGCCGCTGGGGGCAGGCTGCACGCCGTAGCTCGAACGCGAGGAGTTGTAGAACGGAATAAAAGACACCCAAGGCGGAGGTGGGAGCTGCGCGGCGAGACGTTAGTACCAGAAAACAGGCGACAACGGCAGACGTACATGGAGTCGCCAAAGACATACCCCTAATCTCTGTGCGCGGAGGCGAGCAAATACGATCCAGCCAACACCAGCTGCCAGAAGCAAAAGAACAATCACCAGGACGACGATGCCGCCGGTCTTCATGATGGGCAATCTCGACCGTGGCTAGTTTGCGGTGGGGTGAGAGGCAGCGGATGGCCGCGTGCGTACAGACGTGCGTACAAGGTTCACCGGCGGCAAGGCGGGATGTCGCGACTACACAAGCGATGATGTCGCTCTGTAAAGGCCCAAGTAACCGACGTTGACGGATATGCGGACTGGTTGGCGCGGGACACTGGTGGACAGTCGCACAGACAAAGGTGGGCCAGGCCAAGAGCAATCGGCAGATGCGCGGCGAGAGTTTTGTTGCCGCTTGGGAGTGCAATAGGACGATGGGAGAGCCTCGCGCTCAATGGTACGGCGAGTTTGAGGAGGGAGAGACCGACAGAGAGAGAGAGAGAGAGAGATGGTTGTTGAGAAGAAAAGTGTCAAAATGAAGCGTCAAAAGCAGTGAGGGAGAAAAGGGGAGCTGTAGGATTTCCTAAGAACGGGAAGGAGGAGTGCACGACGGCGGAAGGGACGACACAAAGCGGAGGTCGCAACTGCTTCCTGCTGCTCTGGTTCCAGTTTTGCTGATGCCTTGATAAGCGCAAGCGTGCGTCATTGTACTATGTACATAATATATATTGTGGTTTTGTGCTAATATCAGGTATAGTATACTTAAATCTTACTTTTCGATTCTTCAAAGCTAGTGAACAGCGCCATCCCGATCCTTCCGTTCTCAGTACAACGCTGTCTCAGTGCAAGATGACCTGGAACCTCTGCAGTTCTTCACTAAATTCACCCACAGGGAGCTGCGCCGCACTGCTTGTTCCTTGAATGCAACGAATTAGAAAGCTCTTCGAAATTATCCTCAAGAGACATAAGAAAACGCATCGCATGAACGCAAAAGCGTAGATTTTTTATTATTATTATTTTCCCCGTCGCCATGTGTGCGTCGTTTTCCTTGTGGAAGGGCAGTCGCACTGTCCGCTACGCAAAAGTTGATGCATAGTATGCTGCACATATAAACTGTCCATTCAGCCGTTGGCAGTGAGGCAAAGCCTCTGGAATAGTATTGTTTGAGAATGAGAATAATATATAGACTAAAGGATATGCAACACAGCAGCATGTTGGTCAGAACAACCCCGAGAAACAAAAACGAGAGGTGGTGCAAAATAAAGGAAGACGAGGGATGTCGAGAATCGGGACAATACAAGAAATGCAAAAAGACGACAATCACAAGTGTGACAAAAAAAAGTAAAAATCATGGCGCAGCCTTCTCCTCACCGGCTGTGCGTGCATCCCCCGACAATTCCCCGGCAGTGAAACGCTCGTTTCTCGCTCGTCCTCCTCGACGCGGCCCAATCATGTCATCGTCTGTCGCCGTCTTCGCCGCGGCCGCTTAGCAGGCACAGCCGTCTTTTGCGCCCTGGTCGCGCGCGCCCTGCAGGTTCACCCGGTTGGCGTCGCCGCCCGCACGGCCGCCTGCACCGGCCGCGCCGCCGGCCGCACCGCCCCGTGTCGTCTTGAGCGAGGTCTCTGGGATCGCATTGGCAATGGCGTTGAACACCTCGTTGACGTTGGTGCCCGTCTTGGCACTCGTCTCGAAAAACAGCAGGCTCTCCTCGTCGGCGTACGTCTTGGCCTCTTCGGTCGAGACCTTGCGGGCGTCGGAGCCGTCGGCGTCGTCGGCGTCGTCGTCGTTGTTGTTGCTGCTGCTGCTGCTGCTGTCGCCGCCCGCCGCGGCGCTCGCATCGTTTGTCAGATCGAGCTTGTTGCCGACGAGGGCAATGACGATGCCGGGCGAGGCCTGGCGCTGCAGCTCGGCGACCCAGTGCTTCGCCTTGATGAGCGATGTCGGCTTGGTAAGGTCGTAGACGACGAGGGCGGCTTGGGCATTGCGATAGTACATGGGGGCGAGCGAGGCGAAGCGTTCTTGGCCGGCGGTATCCCAGATCTCAAACTTGATCGTCCGCGTGGGCAGGTTGCACTTTTGTGTCAGGAAGGCAGCTGTCGGGCGGGGGAGCAGGAAAGTCAGCATTCGGTGGACAAAGTCCATTGATAGAAAGGGAGACACAGCATTACATACCGCCGATCGTCGGCTCCTTGTTCTCCTGGAAGTCGTTGTTGACGAACCGCAGGACAAGAGAAGACTGCAACGTAGATGCCGTTAGCCAAGTGCCTCTTCCGACATCCTGCACACACTTCGCTGTTCAATCAAGCTCCAAACAAAATAAGCGCACCTTGCCAACGGCAGCCTCGCCGAGAAGAACCAGCTTCACGCTGCTGCTAGGCTTCGGTGCTGCATCCACCATGATGACAGATATGTGGTATGGCTCGGCAAGAAAAGATTAAAGACGAGAACTGCAAAGATCGAACGGTCAATCAAGGCCGACGGCAGTATCGTCAAGGTCAAACGGCCGCTAAATGGGAGACGTCGGTAATCTGAAGGCTCTGCGAGGATAGGAGGCCGGCCCCTTTCGGTTTGGAAGTGTCGATGGGTTGTAAAGGAGAACGATTGGTGAAGATGCCGCTGGAAGTCAACGGCGGCAAAGTCGGACCGGAGAAAGTATACGTATTACGAGCTCGTTGGTGGAAGAATAATTAAGGCTGAGAGAGGCCAGGTGTTCGAAGGCGATGCAGATTTGGCAATAGAGACGAAAAGGTCGGAAAGTCGAACGTTCACGATCGAGGCTTGTCCTTTGGATTGAGTGGCGGCGGGCAGTGGCGGCGTCACGCAAAGCAGACCAACGTAATCGGGAGGTTTGGAAGCCAACCCGCCTGGGGCCTAGTGCGGCACTGTCCTGCGCTGGCAGCCTTGGGACGGAATTAGGTATTGCCGGAACCGGATGTTCTGAAGAGGAAGGAAGAACGGAGCAATTACGTCGTACGACAAAGGAAAGATCGCTGGCAGGCGCGACCCACAGGATCCACACGTTTGGGCGCTTGCCTTATCTTATCGTGCTGCTGGCTCTGAAAAAAAGTTTGGCTCCACTCAAAAAACGAGGAAGGTACGACGAACAATTGGCGACGAAAGTTTGGAGATTCGAAAAAAAAAAAGAAAAGAAAAACAAATCAAACTCCATGCAGGCATAACCCCATCGCGACCCTCTTTTTTTTGCTCTTTGTTTTTCTTCATTCTTTATGTCTCGATTTCTCGGCAAAGTCTTTGGTGCTGTGGGTGCCTTCTCGTCACGCAAACTCTCCTTCAACTCAGCGTCCCAAGATCAAGAGTCGAGCCAACCGAGCGGACAAACCGACAACATGGCTATCGACGAGGCTGCGCCAGCCGGCAAGAATCCCATGAAGCGGCTCTTTGAAGACGACGACGACGACGATGAGGAGGGGGCCAACGCCTTTGGCTCGGGCGCCGCAGGCAAGGCTGCCTCGTTCACAATCAACGAGGAGTACGCTCGGCGGTACGAGCACAACAAGAAGCGCGAAGAGAAGCAGAAACGTGAGCCGACACCCCACAATTCGACAATTCAATCTCAATTGCCGTTACGGTGAACTGCATGCTGACAGCTGACATACTAACTATGCAGTGGAGGAAAAGTACGGCAAGGCAGCAGACGACGTGGACGATGACGAGTCCTCGTCCGACGAGGGCACCGAAGACGAAGACGGCTACCTCCTGACCGAAGACCTCGACGCACGCATGTCGGCCGCCCTGCAGGCCATCAAGAACAAGGACCCGCGTGTGTACAACGCGGACGCCAAGTTCTTTGACGCCGCCGAGGCCGAGAAGGCGGGGGAGGAGGCCGCAGCGGCATCCGCCCGAGACCCCAAGGAGAAGCCCATCTACCTCCAAGACTACCACCGTGAGCGCTACTTGCGCGGCGATGTCGGTGCCGACGACGACAGCGACGACGACAACACAAACGGCCCCGGCGGTGCGTCCCTCACAAAGACCTACCAGCAGGAGCAGGACGCGCTCAAGAAGGCACTCGTCGACTCGATGAACGCCGCCGACGGTGGTCCTGCCAGCGACAACGACGACGACGCCGACGACGCCGACGCATTCATCAAGCCCAAGGCCTCGACCAAGGCCGCCAAAGAGTCGGCCGCCGCCTCGGGCGTCCACCCGTCTCGTGTCGGCCACATCAAGAAGATCACCAAGGTCGACGTCGAGAACGCCGACAAGGACCCGGCCCTCTTCCTGTCCAACTTTGTCTCCTCGCGTGCATGGGTCCCCGACGACGAGACGACCGGCCCCGGATGGGAGGCGTTTGACTCGGAGGAGGAGGAGGAGAACAATCGCGAGCGCGCCGAGGCCTTTGAAACCGCGTACAACCTGCGTTTCGAGGACCCGAACAAGAGCAACGAGGTCCTCAAGTCGTACTCCCGTACCGTGGTGTCCGAGCGGTCGGTGCGGCGCGAGGAAAAGACGGCCCGTCAGCGGCAGCGCGAGCAGGAGCGCGAACGGCAAGAGGCCGAGAAGCAAGCCCGCCGCGAGGAGCGGGCGCGTCTGCGCAGGCTGAACATTGAGGAGGCCCAGGAGAAGCTGGCCAAGATCAAGCAGGCGGCCGGCGTGGCGGGCCGCGACCTGGCCGAGGACGAATGGATGGGTCTGCTCGACGACGCCTGGGACAACGACGCTTGGGAGAGCAAGATGCGCAAGCATTTTGGCGACGACTACTATGCCGAGAAGGACGCCAGTCTGGAGGACGAGCTGGAGGCAGACGGCGATGATGCGGACTCGAATGGCAAGAAAAAGGGCAAGAAGAGCAGCAAAAAGAACCGGCCCAAGAAGCCCAAGTGGGACGATGACATCGACATCAAGGACCTGATCCCTGACTTTGAAGACGAGGCGCTCCCCAACATCGCCCTGTCGGACGATGACAATGAGAATGATGAAGAGGAGGTGGGCGACGACGACAAGGACGACGAGGACGACGAGGAGGGCCACTCGTCGAAGCGCCGCAAGACCGGCAAGGCCCTGAAGAAGGACCGTGCCGACGCCAAGCGTGAGGCGCGTCGCGAGCGTGCGCGCATTGAGGCGCTCGTTGACCGCCAAATGGCGCTCGACGACCCGACCGCCCTGGCGGCCGCCGGGCCTGCGACGGGCGTCAACGCCGAGCTCGGCGGTCGGTTCCGCTACCGCGAGACCAGCCCGCAAACGTTTGGCCTCACGGCCCGCGACATCCTGCTGGCGCCCTCGGATGCGGCCCTCAACGAGTTTGCCGGCCTCAAGAAGCTGGCCACCTTCCGCGACGAGGAACGCAAGCGCAAAGACCGCAAGAAGCTGGGCAAGAAGGCACGGCTGCGGCAGTGGCGCCGCGACACGTTTGGCGCCGACTACGAGCACTCGGGCCCGACGTTTGGCTTTGAGCGCTTTGTGGACGAGGCGGCCGAGGCCGAGGCATCGGGCCACAAGAAGAGAAAGAGCAAGCACCAAGAGGAGGGTGGCGACAGCGATGCCGACAAGCCCAAGAAGAAGAAGAAGCGGTCGCGGAAGAACAAGGGCAAGGGCAAGGCCAGTGACGAATAGATGGCGAGCTGTGTGTGGTTTCCATTCTGGAGTTGCATGTTGCCAGGGCGCAGCTGGATTGATTTTGCGGATTTTGTCGCCATCGTGTTTTTTATTTCTTGTTCCTTTTTCTTTGTTTTGTTTTGTTCTTCATTGTGATTTTGAGGCGCCCATAGGAAGGTTTGGCAAAACCACAAAAGCCGGTTCAGTGTACTTTATTTCTGAATGTTTACATCATTGTACAGCCATTGTTACCTTCTACGCGAATAGGCATCAAACCACAGAAGCCGAGCATGCTGAAATAAAAGACGTGTGAAACGTAAGTCGATCGTTCTTTTGGCTAGCTATCCCCGTGAAACGTAAGTCAGTCGTTGTATTGCAGGCCGGGGAACCGGGTTCCCGTCATTCGCCGCTGCAGTAACAAGGTGTAAAGAATGGCCCGAAACGACGTCACACATAACATGTCCTTGTTGACACGTCCCTTTCTACTGTAAGAGACGGCTTCAAGGTATGAAAATAAAACATTTTCTGAAAGCGGCCCGTGGCCAGGTTCGAAGAAGGCCATTGCCTCTTCGCGTCTTCGACAAATCGGCCCAGTAGCGGGAAGTATAGCTAATCGTGAGAAAACTATCGACCTCTCTCCATCTGGCCTCTAGTCGTCACGGCCAATTTTTTCTTATATGGCTGCAAGGGCAGAACTCGACTGACAATTCGTTCATTCTCTTGGAGTGCAGCCTGCGTCTTGACAAGGCGTGCCGCCCGAACGGCGTCGTTCGTCGTTCTTCGTTTTAAGAGCGTCCATGTCGGTTTCGTGGATTGTTTTCCCTTTGGGCGTTGAAAATGAAAGGATTGTCGAGGTCGAGGGGAGTGGAAGGGATAAGAAATAAAAATGGAGGGAGAGGAAACAGATTTAGGGATAAGTTACAAAATACGTTATGAAGAAGGAGCGGCCGAGGAAAGTGACGTAACGCTTCTTTCCGTTTCTCTCCATCATGTTCATTCCTCTTTCCTTACGCGAACCATACGTGCCTTCCTAAACGGGTATTAGAAAACACCGGCAAAAGTGTCATTCGCTAAGAATCGAAAAGGGCAAGAACACCTTGTTGAAGCTGTTTTCTCCTTGAGTCCCATCCACCTAAACCTTCTAAAAATCCCAAAATCAAAATGATATCTTGCTGATGTAAACGGAGTAAAACAAGACACAAAAGAATATACATCAAGTCGACAGTGGTACTGAATAGGCGTATGACAAGCCCGTTCGATGGACAGGTTCTCTATCCACTGCCATGGTGCAGGCCGCCGAGGCCGCCGTTGCCACCTCCAGGTGCCACGTTGTTGTTACCAAAGATGCCGGCAAACTGGTCCAAACCGCTCATGCCGGACAGGTCTTGGCCCATTTCGGGAGGCTCCATGTTAAAGGGCATGAACCATGCCGACGACTGCTCCTGCGGATGGCCAAATGGATGCATCACAGCGACGCCGGAAGGCACAGCATGATCACCTCCACCAGCCATTGGTCCCGTGCCCTGACCGCTTCCTCTCTGACGGCCGCTGCCACCTCCTGAGCCGGAGGCATCCCAACCCATGCTATCCAATGGACCGTGTCCGCCATTTATAGCGGAAGCGCCAGTAACATCCAGACTACCACCGTAGGCGCCAAAGACAAGTTGACGGTCGAGTTGTGGCATGATGCCACCGTTTTGCTGTGCCAGGGACAGTGCCAGCAGGTCATGTTGGTAGAAGGCTTGCTGCTGCTGCTGTTGCTGCTGTTGCTGCTGTTGTTGCTGATGCTGATGTTGTGGGTGGTGGGGATGCGCGAAGGGGTTGACATTAACCGGGCTAATAGGTGTCATCGACGCATGGAAGGATGCGGCAGCCTGCGACTGTGGCATGGGCATCGGGTTGAAATTGGTTGGCGCTCCCGATTGGCCGCTCAGTGAGCCCGAAAAGTGCCGCCCATGATGCATCCCTTGGGCCCGGGGGTGATTCTGTTGCTGGAGTGCTGCGTGGTGCTGCTGCTGTTGTTGCTGCTGCTGCTGCTGCTGCTGCTGCTGTTGCTGTTGCTGCTGCTGTTGCTGTTGCTGTTGCTGCAGAGCATCCGGGTTCCCTACCCCAAGATCGGCCATACCCGGGTCGACTGGCTGCTGTTCCGTGGTACGAGACGACACCGCACTGCTCGATCCCTTCTTAGCCACGGACTTTCTCTTTGCGTTTGAGCCAGTCCTACCGCCAGCCGCAGCTCCGTCTCGTCCGGGCTGGTTGCCGTTTGCACCACCACCAGCACCTGGTCCTGCGTGACCGTCAGCATTTTGCGGGGCCACAGCAACAAAGAACTCCTCTACCGTGTGCAGCTCGGGCTTTTGCTCGAGCACGGCATCGTCCCCCCTTTCTTTCTTCTTGTAAGAGGCCGCGTCGCCAAAGTCGGAATTCGACACGCCGTGGGGGTACCGGTCGAACCAGTCGCCGTACTGGAAGATGGGTGACGATGCAGCTGCGTTCTCGTTGGCAGGGGTGCCTTGACGCGCCGCATCCGCGCACGACCGGTATTGCTCTCTCAGGTTCTCGGCCATGAAGTGGAACATGCCCCAGTAGCGCTTCATTTTGGACAAGAACTTGACATTGGTGGCGAGGTTGCGCTTCGACGGCGCCTCCATGGCCGGGTTGCCAGAGAAGATGCCAAAGATGTGGACAGTACTGGACAAGAATGCACAGTACCCGACAAAGGGAGCGGCGACGAGGAAGCTCTCGGCATCTTTGAGGAGTTCGGATACGCGGTTGGCAGCTGCAAAGGCCTTTGCACCAGCCTTGGTGACAAAAGATTTGGGGACAGCGTCCTGCATCGAGTTCCCAGTGGGCGACGACACGGCAAAGCGGTTCATAAACAAAATGTTTTGGTGGATCGCAATGTGCAGAAACAAAAACTGGTTTGCCATGCCCTCGGCTTCGTGCAGCTGCAGATTCTCGGTCGAAAAGGTCAGGGACGGCGGCAAGCTCGAGAGCATCTCGTCAACTTGCTTGGCAAGTTTCGTGTAGCCGGACTCGGGGCTCCACATAGGGTGCGGGTCCAGCTCCTTGCCGCCCTGGTTGAGGTAGTTGATAACACGGCCCCAGACGGCGATGGCCCGGATCATGTATGCCGCCACCCCCATGTTGTCTTTGGCGTCAAAGAGCTGGCCGTCGTCGGTTCCCATGTCGGCCGCTGTCGGTGTCACGGGCTGGCCGGCCAGATTCTCTGTCGAGCCAGGCATGTCCAGCTGAAAGTATTTCTCCTTGATGGGCAGTTGAATCTTCACTGACTCTTCTTTGACAAACGTCGGGCGGTCTGTTCCAGAGGAATTAAACCGGTCCATCAGGAAGCACGCCCACATTGTCCGTCGTCGAATTTCACGGTCGATAAAGCTCAATGGTGCACCGCCCGGAAGAGGAAATGGGTCGCGCTCGAGATCTTTGTGCAGCTGCAGTGCAAAGGCCATGCGAATGGCCTGGCCGCCAAGCGCCCAGCTGCGACCGCCGTGGCAGGTACCGAATTCATGAAGACCCAAAATGAGGAGGCACGTCAAAATGGTGATATTCGGCCACTCGTATCGCCGTGTCACGATTTCACGCGCATGCAAGGCCCATTCTTCACCCCGCAGAAAGTTGGGCACATTTCCAAAAACAGGGTGCGGCGAAAAACGAGCCGAAACAGCACAGACAGAAAGGATTAAGACAGGAGGTAATGTCCCAGCACTAAACGTCATAAAGAATTAGCTATTACTGGCACGTCGTAGCATGAAATTCAAGAGAAATTGAGATCCGTTGGAAGCGTACCTTAGTTTCCGCATGTAGCTCGGCCGATGGAGGAGATGGTAAGCCTGGCCGTAAATGTTTTCAAAAAACACCTCCGCCAGGTGCTCTTGCAGTTCGCGGGACGGAAGAGCGTCGGCGCCTTCTTGGAAGAGCTTGTTCTCTTCAGATTCCTGTTGCAAGAGCATGGTATGCGGGCGAGCCACGCTGCCGGTCCGGTTCTTGGAGCCGATGCGAGCCCAATGATCCAGCTCGGGCCCAAACGCCTCGTCGGCCACACGCTTCTTGCTCGAAGACCCCTTTCCGCTGGAAGCACTAGACGCGGAGGTCGTCCCGTTAGTGGCGCCCGATGCGCCCGCTCCTGGGATACCCGGCTTGACTACAGCACGGTTAACCGACGTCATAACAGCGGGGTCCTGTTCAGCCTTGGGGACGATCTTGATAATGCGGTCTTCCATGCGCTTGAGGCGTTTGTCGAGCATGGCCATGTAGTCGGTGCGGGGTGCTGCCTTTCTGGCCGTGACTTTGTAGACACATGGGGTGCGGGAGCGCAGACAATGTTTGCAGGCAGGTTTCTCGCCAGAGCACCGGATCTTCTTCCTGCGACAAGCTATGCAGGCAAGAGGGAGCCGCTTGCGCTCTTTTCCCGCCTTGGTCTTGAGCTCGCTCCACGCTGGGGTGGCGTCAGCACTGCCCGTTCTTTCGTCCTTGCCTAAGAACGATGGACGGTGGCCTCCACTGCCGCTACCACTACCACCAGCCCCGCGCACCTCCATGGAGGCTGGATCATTCAGTACCAGGCCAAACTCATCTGAGATGGGCTCTTCCAGCAAGGACGCCCCGTGGTCGTGTTCGCTGCTACCTTGGCTACCATCGTCGGATGCAGCCTCTTCCGTACCAGCTTGGCATGACTTGGATGACGCGTTGTCGTCCTGAGTCTGTGAAGAAAATGGTTTCGCCTTGGCGGCTTTGGTCGTGCTTGATGTTTTCGGCTTCGTCTTTGGTCCGCCAGGTTCGGCTGCTGTCGGCTGCTGCTCTCCGGTCTCGGTCGGAGCAGGTTCGGCAGTGTTGGGGGTAGCGGGCCCCGTCTCCAAGACTGCCGCGTCCGTGCTGTCGACAAGTGCACCCCCAGGGAGCACAGATGCGGGCGATGGTGATGCGAACAAATTTGTAGAGTCATCTGTGAGGGCAACGATCGTGTTGCCGTCATCGTTCAAGCCCGGGTAGGGCGAAAATTGAAAGTCATCGAAACGCGGAGAGGCGACCTCGATCATGCCCGCGTCGACATTGCCAGCATCTTGGCCGGCGCCAGCTGCAGGATCCATGGTCGCGACGGCAGCAGTTGATGGGGTGGGGTTGTCGACTGTCACGCCCAGTGTAAGCTGGTCCGGGGCCAGGATGCCGCCGTCGTCATTCATCGGCAGCTAGGTAGCTCCGGAATACAAGACGGCAACGGGCGGTTTAACTTTGAAGATGCAGGGAGAGATTCGGTTTGGTTATGCAGTATTCATCGGAATCGATAAGCAATTCCAGTACGAATGTATGCCGTATCGCGACAGGCTCAATCGTCGGAGGCGCCTCGTCGCCGCGGATCCGCAAATGCAAACAAAACAATCGATCCCCGGCAACGACTTATTCGAATTTTTTGGACTTTTTCGACTCTGCAGTCTGTGCGCGCCGCGCTCGTATCGTTTGCGGGTTGACTGTCGGCTAGGTATTGTACAGCTTCTCCGGTCAGAAGGTGTGATGCAGGCCGATCGGTAGAAACTTGTTCTTGGATGCTATTTGGAGGAACGGTACCGGTTAAGAAGTCGAAACAAAAAAGGCCATTGCGTCCTTCCAATGTTTGTGCAGATTCCGTGCCAGTTAGTTGTAGGGGGCCGTCAACGGAGTCCGTGGTAGTACAGAAGTGTTAACGGGGCAGTGGGAAAACCAGATGAAGTTGTCGAAGCCGTTGGGATTTGTGCGAAAATGTGTAGAAGGAGTGTTAAAGACTCGCGGCCAAAAGAGACAAAGTACTCAAGTACACCCAAAATAAATTGCCCGACAATTTTCAAACAAACCGAAAACAACAATAAATGCGCCTAGATGTCAAGCTTTCAGGAAGTCGTGCTTGCTCGTTGTATTGGAACGTCGCGTGATTGTATGTCGGACAGCGACCTGTCTGGTTGCTGCCTCGATGGGTGTAATCCGTATGCTTGTGCGGCGCGAGAACGAGTCGCTGCCTCGGCAGAAGAGAAAAGTCGGAAAGATAACAGCGGGCAGTGAGATAAGGCTGCCAGTATCAGGGAGAAAAAAAGGAGGAAGGCCGGAAGGTGGGCGAACAGCGACACTCGAGGACGAGTCTGGACTCGTTTGGGAGAAATATTGCAGTGGAAAGGAGGCCGGAGAGAGAGGGGGGGAAGCGAGCAAAAGAGGGCGTGAGGGAAAAATGCTGGACGCGCTGGACGGAAGGCGATGTAATAGGCGGCGCAGAGTCAGACGGGTTGGCCAACGAGTGGCAGGCGTGATAGTTGTCGCCAAAAATGCAGGGAACTGCGCAAGGAAATCGCAAATGCGGCGAAAAAGGGGAAAAGAGAGGAAAGTAGAACAAAGGAATAGAGAGAAACCATAGAATGTATGAAGATGTGCGAGCTGCAACGGAGCTAAACCAGACAGGAGAAAGTTTAGACAGTTGGAGAGCCCTGGCCGAGCGGAGGAGCCCCAGGATTGAAAACAGTGTGGAGCAAAGCGCAGGCTGTTCCCAGTAAAAGTCGATCGCGGAAACCGGGGTTGGCTGGCAGAGGCAAACAAGGGCGCCAAGCCAGAACCCAGGGCCAACTGATGTTAAATCGTGGACCAAAAAAAAAAGAAAAAAAAAAAAAAGCGCCGCGTTCGGTAGGCGTTGATTTGGGAACAGTCGAAGCACAAGGGAGTCAGTGGACGAGGACAAACGGACGAGGAGTATTCAACGGTCGGACAGGCGCGGCTCGACACAGATCGGACTTGGACTTGTACTGGAGGGCGAGGAGCAATAGAAAAAAGATCGTCTTTGGGCGTTGACAGGCACAGTGGAGAATGCCGTCGAGCCCGTTGTGTCTGCGGGAGCACCGCGCGCGCCTTGGGACAAAGCGTGGCAATGGTGCGCGCGACGTTGGTACTTTTGTGTCTCTGTCCAGCACTGCGTTCCGCTCTTGAGGCCAAAAGGGAAATGGGGTGCGGGTGGGCGAAGGCGGGCTGTGGAGCGAACGACGCGGGATGTCGAGAGCATGCGCCTGGGGCGGCGTATTGAATGGTGATGCAGGGACTGCTCGGGGCCAGGACCAGCAGCAAAGACGCAATGACGCAGAAGTACGAATTTATCGCCAGCCTGTTGGACGTTGGAGAGAGCCAGGCAACCAAGCTGCCCGGTGCTTTGTTGCAGCAAAATTTGTGCCTTGGCAAGGGTGGCAGTCGGAGATTGAGGTCGAAATGGGTGGCTTTTGGAGTTGATGGCAGGAGATCAAAGCAGAGGATGTCTGGACAAGGGGAGGAAAATAGAGGGATAGAAACGAGGTAATTGGGAAAAGAGATGCTGGAGAGATAAAAGAGATAAAGGAAATGTCCCCAGACGTGCAAATTAAAGATGAGGAGAGCGGAGAAGGACGAATAAGGCAAAATAGAGGCAAAAAGACCCCGGAAAGGGGGAAGAATGACTACAAAAGAAAGAATCAAAAACGAGGCCGGTGACAGAAAGTAGGAAATCGAGAAAACGACAAAACGACAAACGACACAACAATTCAAAAGGGGCTACGGTGTTCGAAGAAGGAAGAGCAAGAGACAAAATGAGGAAAGCGCATAGGACACTGGTTCGGTTCAAAACAATGATGGCAAGAGTGTTCTTGCACAGCATCAGGCAGAGGAAGGAGCACTTGGCCAAATGGAGCAACAGGCGGAAAGAGCGAAGGGGGGCACAGTCAAATCTGTGCTTTCCGTTCTGAGGAGCATAACAGTTAATAATCACTACTCATAATGCGGCCAGTCGATCATAACCAAAGCCCTACAATAATAGAAAGGAGAGCAGAGGCTGCACGACGGGTTACGCCATGAGGGCTGAATACGGTAACATAAAGTAACATAAACCAACTGGTGGCGGCGTTTAAGCGGACCCCTCTTCATGGTAGAATTGGGGAATGGCAAGAGCTAACGTTGACATGGGACGGAAGGCACGCTTTGTATTACCAGAAAGGCAGGCGCGACAGGGCTTCACGCCGCCGATCCATATATGACGGAAGAGCTGTGCAAAGCTGGAAGCAATGATGAAGCACGGGGAAGTACGCAAAGAGCAAAGAGCAGATTGCAAAGAAAGCAGGAATGAAAGCACACGGACGAAACCTACTATTCAATCCAGACCGACGGAACCGCAGGTGACCCAACTACGCTGAAAATAAAAGGCTATGGAGAACGAATTTACCCCATGTTGTGGAGAAGGAAGGAGGGAGGGGGACGCTCCTTCTCCACAGGGCGCTACGCCACATCTGGACGTTCTGCCAGTTTCGTGTCCTGCGACAGGGAGCGATCTGTTGTGCCCCAAAGTCGACTGCAACCACAAGGCTCGACAGCATCGACGAGAGTCCTCCGAACGCTTTCGTATCTGTTGCTTCATTCTACAAGTCGACCAGTGCGTGTTGGCAGCCTTTATACGCTGTGGGCGTACATTGTAATGCTCCGCAGCTGCCTGGCCGAGGAAGGAGCAGGAGCCAGCGTGGCAGGCCGGGAAGGTGCGTACGGCGACAAGACCGGGGGACTAAATGGGTGGAGCCAAGGATGCCAAAAGGCGCTGTCAGAACACAGATTGCGACGCAGTGTTTCCCCTCCCGCCAATTAAACGTCATGGAGAATACCGAGAATCGACCGACCGGAGAATAAAGCATGCTTTACTAATGAGTGCTTGGCTTGGGTATGTCCAATCTGGTGGGCTCCCTCTGCGACATATCAGTGCCGCCGTGGTGCGTTCCGCCTCGGTTTTGTCTGTTGTCTCCCCCCCGCCTTGTTAGCAACAGCACGCGTCCGTTGCTGTCGAGACTGTCTCAGCGTAAAGATAATACGAAGCAAGCATGGCTTTGCAGTCTTTGGTGTCTCTTGGCTTGTCGGGCACGTGCTCAACAATCGACAAAAGGGGCACGAGAGACTGATAATGATTCGCCCTCCCAGTACCACCCACATACGGCGTCTATTGTCAGGCGAGCAAAAGAGTAAGACACTCCTGTCAATGGCACATACTTTGTGGCGTCGAAAGTCCGGTGCCTCTGAGCTGTGACAGTTTGAAGTGAGTTCTCAACTATTCGAGGAAGACCCACTTATTTCCAGTCGCTAGCGACAAGGCAGGAGCACTTTGAGATCGCCAACTGCGATGGCAAGAGCGAGTCGCGACACAGTCCGAGCCGTGCCGAGCGCCTTCCTGCTATGGCCGACCTTTGTATAGACTGCACAAAAGTCGAAAAAACCCTCACCCAAGGTAACAAGGCTCTACGACATCATCACAAGACGCAAGTGCGTTGTCTACGTAGGTCCCATGCAAGGTATGACTAGCGAGAGGGCGAGAACGACCCGCTATGGCCGAAGTCGCCCGCCGCTGCTTAACGGCGGGATAACATGGTTCCATTAGTCCCCAAGAAAGGGAAACCAGAAAATCACAAAAACCAGAAATCAAGAAGCCAGACGGGCCAAGCAAAGGCAGAAACGATCCTGCCAATGAAAACAGGAAAATGGTAGAGGATGGCCATCAGTTTTACTGACTACCAAAATCCGCCAAAGAACGGTTGATGCCAGAGTTTTGCAGGTTGTGGTTTTCTCGGCCATTTTACTCTCCGAGCCAGTGCCATGCATGCATTACCAGTGACCCACAAACAGGGGCCAGTCGTAACCGAAGGGATATCATCGCACAGAGTACCAAACCCTTGAGCAGGCAGGTAGAGCTGCTGGCTGTCAGTGTGATGCGGCTCAACTTGCATCGCGCTGCGACGCGCCGTTTGAGGTGTATTCGCACAAGCACACACACAAAACGCTTCATGGCCGGGCAGCCGTGCCGGCAGCCGACATCTTTTCTTGTTGCCTCTTTGACTGTTATGACGCCGCCGCCCATGGCTGGTTGCATGACTGCAGCATCGAACGGTCTCCCGCCGTCCGGGAACCATCAACCATCAACTCTGCTATACCTTCTGACTCGAAATAAACTGTGCCACCGAGGACGAACGGTTGCCCGCTGCCAGCTCGTCGAGTCGCAGATATGATAGTGGGCAGCGGCGAGGACAAACTGGGCGCGCATGTTCATCACGCGCCGTCATCCGGGAATGTCGCCCATGGTCTGCCAAAGAAAGGCGGGGGGAAGGTGTCCAGTTGCCGGCTGAGCTTGGGTCGTATTTCTCCCTACGTTTTCAATGCAGAAAGTTGCTACAACGTCAATTTTAGGTTGCCCGTGCGGCCTAGTCGCTTTCTCGATCTCGCAGATGTCGTGCATGTCGATCCGGCCAAGCCAGCCTCGCCTAATAGCGACGCCCTCTTGATCGAGACGGGCAAAAGCAAGGCTGACTCTCCACAAAATGCAGTCTATACCTGTACCATGCAGTATATCAAATAAATATACAGGCCAATCTGCAAAACACGTCAATACCACACCTCTTCTCAGGATAAAATGAGAGCCATGTCCCTTCTCGCCTTCTGTTCTTGGCGTTGTGGTCATGGCATTGTCGCGAGAATGCATCCGAAGCTTCGACGAGTCGTTCCACGGAGGCTTCTTTTACTGGAATATCAATATAAAAAGAGGTACCCACTCGCGGAGCATAAAGAGATGTGCATATATATATCTATAATATATACACAGCTCTTTTATACTTCATTTAGACAGCTGTTTGTTTTTGTTCCATTCACCCATAAGCGAACTTAACCGTTCTACTCCTTCCGCATTTCCTACCGGTCGTTTCGCAGCTACTCGCGGGCCGCCAATGTCACAAATTATATGTTGCCTTTCTCATTTTGTTTCCTTTTTTTGCCCCTGTCTCTTCTTTGCCACTGTATGTTGCGCCTTTCACCTTTTTTCTCGGAGCTTTACACTCGCTATTATAGTCCCTGGTTCAGTTTTTCAGTGTGCCACTTTGTGCTTCCCGCTCCTATTTTATCAGACGACGGCAGGACTCAACGCGCTGCTTTGTGCTCATGTTTTAGCCGTTTCCTGAGGCTCGAGACAAAAGAAAGCCAAAGACACAACGAGAGGAGAGGCATATAATATTCACTCTCTGGCCTCATGCGCGACTCGTGGGTAGTAGTCCTCCTTTTTATTTTGCGCCCCCAAGCTCTCCTCAAAATGTCTCACAATCGAGATGACTTGTTGGCAGCGAGGTATATGGGCATGTTTGCATCCCGCCCGTATTTATCAACATCGTTGTCCACGCCCCTTTCTGCTGTCCCTTGCCCTTTGAACTAAAACATCAAAGACACTCCGCATGCGCCAAAAAAAAAAAAAAAAAAAAAAAAAAAAGAAAAGAAAAGAAAAGAAAGAAAGAAAGAAAGAAAAAGAAGAAAAGGTTTCACAAGCATATTGGGATGGCTGCATCGATCTCATGTTGTGTTGCATCGCCATTGACGTGTCGTTCGTACCATGTGATCCTTGGCTTTTTCTATTTCAAGTAAGCAGGCAGACGCCATCCCAAAATAAGGGGACCTCGTCAGGCCTGCCAATGACATGGGACCACAAGTAAAGTCATTGCTGTGTTGCTTCCAGTTTGCCTCCGGCCATCTTGCCAGACGCAACGTGTGCCCCCAGCACGTCAAAAATGCAACATTTGCATGCGTTGAATGAGCCGCTGTTGTTGTACACGACAGTTGCGCATGAACGCTTGTTGCACGATGTCGCTGCTTGTGTATCTCGAGATACAACCTTTCTTGTGTCCTACAATAAGGCGGTGCGTCCTTGGTGCGGAACACGATTCTTATACATTGTGCGATGCGCCGCCATTCCACCAATACGTCTCTTGCTTCGAGACAGCCTTCAGCGGACAACTGTATCAGGCACCTTGTTTATTATTAGTTTATCTTCTGAGCCAACAGAGTCCGGAAGGGCCTCTTCCTGCCCCTGTTTTTGATCTCAAATAAATTACGCTGTGGCGTTTTCTCATTTTCCTTCGCGTCCAAAAAAACCAATACGGAAAACAATAAGGACGAAAGGACATACTTGGAATGTTCCGCACAGGCCCCCCGACTCGTTGACGGTCCGACTTCATAACAAAAGGCCGTGCGGGGGGGACGAGGAAGCTGCATATGCAGATGATTGGCGTGCCGGATTGCGGGCTGCACGAAATGAGAGCCAAGGGTAGAGAGACGGGTATCAGGTTTGTTGGTTTACCCCGGATTCCACCAACCGCCTTCGTCGAGTTTCTTGTTTCTATTTATTGCCCCCAGGCGTGTCTTGGACAGGGATACTACCTGGCAAAATGGAAGAATAAAAAGATCAGCAGGGATACAACAGAAGGGATGGCTCACTGGGCCAGAACTTCTTCGTCATCTGTTTTTTATTGCGTATTAAATGCACCTGCGTCTCCTTGTCGAACTCGCTGGCCACTTGAACAACGACAACAACAGCAGAGAGGATCACAGTACAAATACACGAGATGCAAGAGCTGGAAACTTGAACAAGAAATTAAAATGAGGTCCAAAAGGCCATGCAGTAATGGGTATGAAAATATACAAAAAAGCAGCGAAAAGAAAAGAAAACCAACCCAAAGTATGCACAATGCTTCCAATCCAAAACACCCAAAAATATGCCAAATGTTGGTCCTCGCTCAAACAATATAAAAGACAAAACCAACCTCGAAGCTCTCTACATGATGTGTGCCACCTCGGACTCTTCCAGATTTGTGTGTGCCCCCCCTTTCTGTCGCCGATGTGGTCATGCTTGCTTGCATCTTCCCGTGTCGTTTGTATGTACGGCCCACTCCACACCATATGGGCAACCTCCCTCCTTCCTTGTCACCGGCTAATGTCGTCGACTCTTTTTTGTCTTGGCGTAGTCTCGATTCGGCTGTATATGTGACTCGGTGGACCAATTGAGGAAGCCCGGAAGAAGCAAATGCCCGGGTGGCTGGCTGTTATGCTGCATGATTCGAGATTTGCACGTGGCGCGAAACTGGGTGACCCTCATTGCAGGTACACCGGAATGCCGTACACGCACACGGCCGCCGAGGTCAAATACCGGAATCGAGGCGCGTCGCGTGCGCACACAATCGCTTCCACCAACGACGCCGTCGCAGCGCGCGACGACGGGCTCGCGCTGCGTTTTTTGGTCGAGGTCGAGGGCCCAGTCCGCTTTCCCGCCTTGTCCTTTTCGTCAAAGGTGCCTTGGGGAACGAGGCCCCACGCCTCAAACGCCTGCCCAGCAAAACGGTCAATGTCCTTGTCGGTGACGTCCCACAGCGTGCCCACCACGGCAGGGCACCCGGCCAGCATGTAGTCCCAGACGGGGCCGTGCAGCTCAAACTCCCCGTTGTAGTTGAGCCCCGCTGAGCTGCACCCCATCAGAAGCGTTGTCGCGCGGCACCGTTCCATCTTCCGCACCGTCCGCCCTCGGATGTACTGCGCGCCGCTGCCGTGGCCAAAGTACAGCAATACGTCCTTGTCGCGGAGGATTGCCTCAAACTCGTCTTCCGTCGGTGTGCGCCCCACAATGCGGCTCCAGGACGCGCCACGGACGTTCGACGTCAGCGGGCCGTCGAACGTGGCCTCTGTCGACGGCAGGTCGCCCGATGGGTTGAGCATGTAGGCGCCCGACGCAAGCGATGCGCGGTGTCCGCTGGGACGATTGGCTTCCGGTGGCTCTCTAAGCTCGTCCGCGTCTGTGTGGTTTTGCTGTTGCTGCTCAAGGATCAGGCGTCGAAGACAGGCGAGAGATGGCACGCGCGACACGGCCAGCTCCTTCATACACGGAAGCGACTCCCATGGGAAGACGTGGAGTGACTTGTCGAGCACCAGAATGCTATGGAGGTGATCACTCGGTTCGCCGGCCGCCGTCGCCGAGCTCCGAGCCTGACCGTCGTGAATGGCGGAGTGGTAAGCAAAGAGCGCGTCAAAGGTCTCCACCACCATGGAGTCAAAGTCAATCTCGTCGTAGGCATTGTGCTCGCCATGGAATTGTAGAATGTCCACCACAAAGTACAGCAGGTCGTCAAGAACATCGTCGAAATCACAGCCCTCCGTCGTTGCGTCGCCAAGGCCGATGAAGAGGTCTAGAACACGGGGATCTAGAGCCACCCGTGTCGGTGACGCAGCCGCAGACGAAGACGCCGGTGTCTTGCCAGTCCGCTTCTTGCCACGCGCGGGAGACCGGCGAGATGGCAGGTGCTTGTCGAGGATGCCTTGGAACGTCTTTTGGAACCGTGCAAACAGAGTTGGCCGCCGCACATGCTGAGAGAAGATGCCGCGGAATCCACCGAGCCAAATCTGCTCCACGTTGTCGAGAAGCTCCTTCAGGCGGTTGTCGAGGCCTTCACGCTCTGTCCACCAGCACGACTTGGCCCCCTTGACAGTCATGTCGCGGGCCCCATGGCAGCTGTCGTTGATGGCCTTCACAATCTCAAGAAGCTCGGCCCGGCCCTGCTGGTAGTTGAACACTTCGTTGTCGGCGTCGCGTGAAATTGCACGCTCCAGGGGGAGGCGGATGACAAAGGGGCTCTGGCCAGCTTGGAGCTTCGTAATGCACAGGTCGTGCTTGTTCTCGCTGAGCGCCATGGAAACCACGCTCCAGTCTTTGGGGATAATGTCAATGTAGTCGCGCTGGAACCGGCTGATGTTGATATCGGTAATCTTGGACACACCGGCCGTAAAGCTAGAACGCCTCGGTGTGCCACCACTCAAGCTGCCGGTTGGCGAAACGGTTGTCACGGCGGTTGCCGACGTCGGTGCCACTGCGGGCCACCAAGATGCCTCACCCGAAATCTCCTGCTTCGTCAACATAGCCTTCTCGACAAGAACAGCCCGCCGTTGCCGCTTCCATGTCATGTTACGCGCCAGCTCGACAGAGCAGCTAGCGTAGCCAGGGTGACCCAGTGCACGCGGTTTGCTCCAGGACGTCGCCGAGAGAACAATCACGGCGCTCTGGAGCATGCTCGAGATCCGGTTGAGGGTCACGGAGTCACCGGTAACAGTAGCAATGGCCTGCGCTTCAATGAGGCAGTTTTGGGCTTCTTGCAGCATCTCCACAAAGCCAACCGTGTTCTTGGTCGGTTTCCCCAGAGCAGAAGCCATTCCTTTCACTTTGGCAGCCACGGGCGACTTTGATAGAGAGAGGCGGTCTCCATCACCGCCCGCTGCGATAACACCGCTGCTAACCGCAGGGAACGAAAGTGTCGAGTCCTGGATGACGGAGAATACCGCATCGCGGGCCATTTGGTCTGTACTGTGGCCCAACAAGCAAGCAGCAAGCGCAATGTGTCCTGCCAGGATGTCGGACTGGCTCTTTGGCGAGGTAGTCCCAGTTGCGTCGCTGGCGCTGGCCCTCAAAATGGCCAGAGCCGCGGCCCAATCCTTCTTGCTCAAGTGGGACATGGTCTTTTGCATGAAGAGGGCAGTGCGGAGTCCGAGGGCAGCAGGGTTTTCTGTCAGTGCGTCAGCCACGGCGGTTTGTGAAGAAGTTTCGACGGCAGCCGTGCTCTGAGCCGTGGCCGCGGTCTTCTTTGTCGATTTGGCTGCGGCAGCCGTCTTGCGGGTGCCCGGCATTCGTGCCGTAGACTTTGCCGGTGCAGCCGCCGCCGCCGTCGCTGCCTTTGTCCGTCGCCCTGACGTCGTTCTCGTATTCGTGACCTCGGTCGACGTCGGGTTGGGGTCGGTTTCCGGTGTTTCCGGTGTCTTCACGGTACTCGGAAGTTCGCAGACGCGCTGCACAATCAGTTCAGCCTCCTGCATCATTTCTTGCTCGTTCTTCTCGTCGTTCATCTCCCGGTAGAGGTTAGCAAGGTCGCAAGCAAGCGACGCCTTTCGGTTGGTCGCGTCTATGTCAGCCAGTCGGGACCGAGACTGGGTGACGAACGTGACTGCTTTGTCGAGTTGGCCGGCTTTGAGGCAGACCGTCGCCATCCAGGATTCGGCTTGGGCCAGCGACAGGGCCGCATTGGTAACGGTAGCGACCTTTTGTGCTTGTTCGGCGTAGTACATGGTCTCCTGGGCCATTCCGAGGTGGGCATATATCGAAGACAGACGAAGCATGCTGTCGAAGAGAGGGTGGAACAGCGCCCAGAACTCGGGCGAAGCAACCGATGCTGACGCTGTCGACAAGACCATCGATGAGTCGGGCGTAGTGGCCGCAGATGCCTGCTCCTGGTCCGGCGATCCTCGGAGAGATGGGCTGGGATTGAGTGACCGCTCTGATGTGGACGACGATGCCGAGATGTCAGCAGTACTCTCACCCTCGCCACTCATTGAGCTATCGGTGGAAAGAGGTGGTCGCTCCATTGTCTTTTCCATTCGGCTCCAATCCTGGAACAGCATTCGGACGCCGTTTCTCGCATTTTGAAGAGCCACCGAGTGGTCGCCCTTTTCAAGGGCGACAAGTGACTGAAGAAAGCATGCGTGGGCACCAAGCCTCCTTTTATGAGAGCCGGTCATCTTGAATTGGTTTTGAGTCTGGGAAGCCCCGTCGGAGCTAACAGGTTTTGCCTCAAGCAGCTGCTGGCTTCTACGATGTCACAGTGGTAAGTATATATTCCGGGTAAATAAATTATAAAAAAATAAACAAAAAAATCCAGAGTCAACTTACGCTTCGTCGAACCGGCCCACCGCAATTAGGTACTCGGCGCGGGAGAGATGAAAACTGATTGTGGCTGCCATGGGAGCTGTCTGGGAACCATCAAGGCGACTGCGGATCGCCTCCAGAGTCGTCTCTGCCTTTGCATAATCGCCCATACGGAGGTAATGCGAAGACAGGGCGAGCGCAGAGTGTTGCGCAGGCTGCAAGGAGTAGATCCGACTGTCGCCGGAGCCAGCGATAATGTTCGACAGGCACTGAGAGAGCTCCAGGACACGTGTAATGGCAGCGTCGCGTCCCATTGCCCGCATGAATTCAGCGACAGAAGTGAGGTGCGTTTGAAATTCGGAGATGTCGTCAATGGCAAGTTCCAACTCTGCAAGTGTCGGGTTTGCCTCGAGAACGGACTTCCAGGCCGACAGGGAGCCGTAAAAGGCATGCATGTCTGGGAATCCCTCGGAAAAGCCTGCCAGAGAAGTGGCCAACGACTTGTAGTGAGGCACATAGCCAGCAAGAGAAACATCATCAGCAAGCCCTTGACTCTCAATGAGGCCCAGCGCGGCTTTTGTTTGTGGTGCAATTTCAGCAAGAATGTCCGGCTTGTCGATGCTAGCGGAGAAGAGACGGAGAAGAGTACGCAGCCGTCGAACCGGGAACTGCGTCGGGTAGTAGATACGAAGGAGCGCCTCAACGCAAGGATGTGACAGATCAAGCCCGTCACGGGGATGGGTAGACTTTGAGCTCAGGCTGCCACTTCCGTGACCGAGATGGATGAAATAAAGCTGGTGCTCGAGAACCGCCGCATGCTCAAGATCCTCGAGGCCGACCGACCAGTCCATGTGGACCTCTTCAAGTCGGTGAATAGAGACCAGCGTGCGTGACAGAGCATCTGCTTGGTCGGTCGACGTCCATGCAAGGCTCGGAGGAAGTCTTCCGAGTGCCGCAGTCACCGTGCTCAGTGCGCCGTCGTCGACCAGACTCGAACGGATCGACTGCAATGCTCCCAGGGCATCTCCGATCTGACCAGTGGCACGAGCCAGCTCTGCCATGCGCTCCAACTTGAGGATGAGCTGTGCCTTTTCTCTCTCGGGGCCAGGCCGGTTCTTGATGCAGTCGATTGCGCGCCGTAGTGCTTTCAGGGCATCGCGGTCACCATGGTCGCCTTCCTTCCGCCGTAGGACATTGTAGCTGAGGTAGTAGAAGTGGGATATTTTGACATAGTACGACGAAGAGGAGTCGACAGACTTCAAGTCACCGAGGTACTCCAAAACAGTCAACGAGTCGCTGAGAACCGAGTCCAGCTGCTCCCAGACCATGCGGCCCTCCTCGATCATGGTCTTTGTCACGACAAAAGCCGAGTCAAGCGTGTGGCGGATGGATTGCGTGAGTAGTTGGCGCCGCTGCTCGTAGCGGAGAAAATCTTTGGTGCCGCTTTTGGCGGCGGGTGGTTTTCCGAGCCATCGAAGGCAGAAACGAGGGCATTGATAGACGAATGATTCGAGGAGAAGCTTGAACGACTGTGCGATAGTACTGGGATTCGAATTTGCATTCGAATTCGTATTTGTGTTTTTCTGAGGTTGGTTCATCAAGACATTGACCGCGGACTTGCGAACCAGGCACACGTTGGCAAGCAGCTCCTCCAGTTCTGCTGTGTCGCCTTTGACGGATCCTTTGATTGTCTCCAAAACACTAGCGAGCAGTGTCTGGCTATCCTGTGCATACGTCTTGGCGGTGTTCTTGAGCTGGAGCGCCAAAAGCTGAGCGGAGGTGGAGCAGCATTTTGCGGCAGAGTCATCACTAGGGTTCACGAGACCAAACAGCTCGGATGCCCAGTGGATGGCATCGTCAATGTGGCCAGCTTCCCGAGCCACCGCACTGAGGTTTTGAAAAACGCTTGCCAACGGCGCTTTGGAGGTCCGTGAAACAGCAAACTGTCCTACTTGGATCAGCTCGAGAATGTGGTCGAAGCGAGCACGGCAGAACGAGTACGATGGTGCCTTCCCAGAAGCTCGGCTTCGTCGAGCATATGTCGAAAGGCATCGGGAAAGCGGCGTCAAAATATCTTTGTCGGCGTCGGCGGAGCCCTGCTTGGCCATGGTCCAGCACCGCAGTCTGGTCTCGAGGCTGAGGGTCTGCAGCTCCAACGCGGCAAGGGGTGCCACGCTGAGCTTCGGCTCGATTGCGGTCGCGTCGTCCTTGCTGGATATGCTGGGCGCCAGAGCCAGGAGAAGCTGAGAGAGGGTCTCCATTTGCCGCAGCATTTTTTGCAGTTCTGCAGGGTTCGCGGCGGTGGCCGTAATGCACATAGAGACGAGTTGGAGGGGCGACGATTTGCAGCCACGCCGAAGAAACGGCAACGCGGAGTCGATATGCGCAGGCTTCTTGAAGGCGGCCAGGATTCGTAGAGCCTGGAGTTGGGACGCCACAATAAGCTTGATCGTTGGGACAGATAGGGCAGACACGTCTCCATAGTCGAGGATGTCGGCGGCCAACGATGCTGTCGACGGCGGTGGTGCCGCTGGTGCCACAGCCTGCTGTGCAGATGACTTTGTCGTCTTGGCCGTTGGCTTCACAGTCTTTGTAGGCCTTGCTTTCGCGGTAGCCGGAGCGGAAATGGTTTCCGTGGCTGTCGTGGACAGTGTACCCTGTAGACGCTTCTTGAGAACGCGCAACTCTCGGCAGGCTTGATCGAGCATGTTCAAGCCGAGCAGCTTGGCCACAAATGAGGACATGCCCGCCTCTAGCTGAAGGTCAGGGAGCGCGACGGCTTTTGTCTCTTGTAATGTTCTGAGAGTCGAAAACGCGACACGTGCGCACTCCACCGTCGCCAAGCACTGAGCATTCTGAGCAGCAGCAGGTGCTGCGGCGGCAGGCTTGCCGGTCGTCTTTGTGGGTGATGTCGAGACGCGGTTGAGGGTGCGTGGCTGAAGTGGTGTCACGGGCGCCGACATCGACCGACGCAGACGGCCCCTTGCAGTCGACTTGGGAGGCACTTCATCGCCGCCGTTCGAGAGATGTTGCGCCCGTGAGGGTGTTTGTGGCGGTGCTGGTTGTGATGCCGCCGGTGGTGTCGGTTTGGCCGCTTCGGCAAGGGCCTTTAAGGCTGCATTGATGACGTGCGTCGCCAGCTGGGCCTTTTCCTTGGCCGAGAGGCATGGTTGCACGTCGGGTTGCCGTGCATCGTCACGCGCTGTGGCTGGTCGCCGCTTTGCTGCCGCAGTTCCGGGCCGCGACGACGCGGCTGTGGGTGGTCGAGAGGAGGGCGCAGCGCGTGCAGTCTTCGTCGTGGAGTTTGCGGTTTGCTGTCGTGACTCGGCATCGTGAGGGAGGAGGAGAGACTTGAGAGAGACGACGGTGGCTGGCGTGCATGAGGCACTCGATGTGACGGCGTTGCGGACAGCATCGGCCTGCGCCTGGAGGGTCGCCATGCAAGCCAGTGGAGTGAGAGTGTCGCGAAGAGGCGTGGCAGAGCAAGAAAATAAAAAGAGAAAAGAACAACAGAAAAGAAAAATGAGGAAAGCAAAAGGGTATAACGAGGAAAGCAAAGGCAATAACCGGTTGATCCTTAATCATAGCATTGCTGGCGAGAACAAGTCTAAGTCTACCCTCCAACGCAAAAATCAAAAACACGCGTCTGATACAGGGAGGCGAGGCGTGGAGGTGAAGATCGAGTGTCGTCAGAAGGCGAAGTCGTGAATTCGGTGAGATCAAACAGTCCAGTCGAAACAGGAAAAGACCACACACAAAGCTCGTCCAAACTGCTCAGCTCAGCTCAGGCAGGGGCGTTGGGCGACAGGGGCAGAGTCGCACCTGCCGTCCTTGACCGACTGAACGGCGCGTGCAGGGAAGGTCCCATCGGCGGTATTGTTGCGTATACGCGGAACAACTATCGGCCCCGTGTTGGCACGGCAACCAGCGCTAAGGAGCAAGACAGGCCGACGCTCCACAATTCGATTGGCGGAGAACGGCGGCAATTTTCCAGATGGAAGTCTTCAAGTTTCGTTCAACGTCCATCGTCCCATCGGCCGACGACCACCGTCTTTGTCGACGTCCAAGTGGCAGCAAAATCCCCCGCGGTAGTTATCAAAATGAACGCAGCAACGATCCGTGGCCTCCGCGCAGCGGCTGCGCGCCACACCTCGTTGACATCTCCCCGGCTTATGTCTCTCGCCGTTCAGAGACAACCCTACAGCTCGCTGCCGACAGTTGCACAGTCCTCGTTCTGGAAGCAGCTCGTCCCGAAGCCGTTGCGCCGTGGCAAGGACGGCACGCTGCCCGTGGCCAATGCCGTCTCCAACGCGCGCAACGCCAAGGAGTGGAACCCCGCGACGTTCTACATCTTCCTGTTTCTGTTCATCGGGTCCATGTCCATCCAGATGATCGCGCTGAAGAAGGACTTTGACACGTTTATGCGGCAGTCGGACGTCAAGATCGGCCTGCTGAAGGATGTGATTGAACGCATCCAAAAGGGCGAGAAGGTCGACGTGGAGAGCGCGCTGGGCACTGGCGATCCGGCCAAGGAGGCCGAGTGGGATTCGGGTAAGGCAGCTCGGGCGACGGGCCATCGTTATTATGTTCGGGGTTCGGGCAAACGGTACTGACACACAACTCTAGTCCTGAAAGAAATCGAGAGCGACGAAGTCACCCGCAACTTCCGACGCCAGGAAAAGAAGACAGCCGAAGCCGCACCGGCTCCCGAAACGAGTCAACAGAACACGCAGAGCGGCCCCTCGACGACCAAAATCACATCGACCGCCAACTTCTATTAAACAAACGCCCATGACTATAAAAAATACTTTTTTAAATTATTTACAGTATTTTTTGGTCTATTCGTCCAACCGTTATGAGAGCATGTCCCTGAACAAGGCCGGATCGACTTGGCTGGCACCGTGTCCTTTGCCTTGTTGGTAGATGCCGCCCGGTGCTAGTCTGTGCAGCTCGTCCACAAGTGGTGGCAACACAGCATCCGTGGGTACCTCAACGCGGACACCGGCCGCGCCCGGCTGGTTGTCGTCCAGGTCAGCAAAGAAGGCGTCTTCGCCCCGGACGCCGCCCATGTTCACAACAGCAATGGGCATGCCGCGGTCCTTGGCCCGCTTCGCCAGACGCCATGCCGAGTATGTGGCAAGGGAGGTAGCCAGCACGAGAAGGCGGCCCGCCCCGTCCACAGCGGCCTCGGCGGCATGCTTGGCGGACGGCGAGATGCTCTCGCCAAACATGATGACCGCCGGCTTCAAGATACCCGGAAGCCGGACATTGGTGCCACTGTCCGTCAGACTGCTAGTGTGGGGCAGCGCCCACGCTCCATCCGCGTCGACCTCGACGGCCATCGTGGTGCCGTCGTCCGCGACTGGCGGGTTGGCTAGGCAGTGCGCACAGGGCGGGTAGCGGAAGGTTGTGTATGGCGCATTCGGCAGGTCCACATCGCCGTCGGGGTTGGTCCGAACTCCGCGGATGGCAGAGAGACTGGCGGGCTCGCGCCGCGCTGGCGCCCCCGTGGTGGGGTCCTCGGGCGCAAAGGCGCCTGCCGCGATGGCGTCGGCAAGGAACTCGGCCCATATGGGGTTGAGCCGTGCCAGTTCGTCCTGGAACGTATCGCGGGGGTATTCGCGGTAGCAGGTGGTGCAGACGGTGGCCCGGAGATAGCCGTGCAGCTCGACGGTCGACGGAAGGTCGGGGTGGGCGGCATGGTGGAAGGAGTCCACGTTCTGCGTGATGACCGAGTGTACATAGCCAAGGCGGCCGAGGTCCCGCAGAGCATAGTGGCTCGTGTTGGGCTTGGCCTCATGCAGCGTCGTCCAGCCCAAGAAACTGCGTGTCCAGTACCGTTTGCGTGCCTCGTGACTTGCCAGGAACTCGTGAAAGTAGATGGGCCGGTACGTCTTGTTGACCCGATACGTGCCGTTCTCGCCGCGGTAGTCGGCCAGGCCACTGGCCACCGACAGTCCGGCACCGGTCAGCACCACCGTAGACGAAGGCAAGCCCGGCCGGGGCGGTGCCGTCATGAAGGCGCTGAGAGCCTCAACGGCCGCCGACAGAGTGGTGGCATGGCGCGGGATGATGCGCGGAGGTGCAAAGACATCAGTGTAGGGGATGCGCAAGAGCGGCCTGCGCACGGCCATGTCGTTCTGAATGTGAATCGACGTCAGTGTCCAGTGTACACCGTGGCATTCCCCAGGTACCCTGCCCGAGAGACGTGCCGAATATGCGTGAAAGTAAGTCCTAGATCCGCGGCTGTCCTAGATTCCCGGTCTGTGCGTATCTCCAGGGAATAATCTGCCAAGCAAACACAGCTGAAAAGCTTGCGGGAACAGCCTGCTCCAGCCCAATTGCACGCTGTATCGGGGAAGCAGCCCGTGGGAGATTGGTGGCCGGCTTCGGTGGTTGGAATGGGCGTCTATTGGGCGATGAGGAGGGAAGGCTGGCCGCGGCTAGATGAGGGTGAAGGACGCGGTGTGCGAGCCATGCCTATAATTTTACAGCATACTGGGCCGGTAGCGGATAGTTTTAGGGAGCCTTCGGATAGTTTTGGGGCGCTCCAGGCGTTTTCCAGCGCGTCGTAACTCGTCGACTCTCGGTCTGGGTGGGGTAAGTACGTCGTTAAGCGTATCGTCATGGTGGAGATCACCTACTGTCTTTCCTGGTGAGGCAGGAACGGCTTCGCGAGTTGGCAACCTGCAGTATTTGTAGAGTGGAACGGCATAGTCTTTATCTCCGTCCGCGATCAACCTTCCTTCCGCGTTTTCAGACGAGCGGGGGGTTCCTGCCTGGTCTGGCCGCTGTCAACGTACGGAAGCGGACGATTGCTGTGTCGCGAGAATCGAACCATGCGGGTTGGCGCTTTCCGCTTTCCGCCCTTGTAAACTCGTTTGGGGGGCATCATATTGACCAGAGGATGACGGCGCAGCAGGAACGACCCAACAAAACCAATAGAGTCAGCCCACTCCAGCTCGGCAACCTTCACTGCGCTACGGGGGAAGGCGCAATCGCGGTCCGCTAAAAGAGACAGTCCAAAAGCCTAACTGCCGCCAGCCAGGGCCCATTCGACCGCTTTGGTGACCGCTGTTCCACGGAAGAGGACAGGACCTGAAATCGACTACGGAGTCATTGTTTTCGTGCTACTGGGTATCTTCCCAACCATCGGCTCCGTCGCGGCGGTCTCGCTGCAGAAACAAAACCCAGCGCGCGTCCGCTCCTGCTTCTGGCTCGCTTCTCGGTCCATCACGTTCGCTCCTTCTTGGATATTTCATGTTAGCCCAGCTGCTTCCTGCTTTCCTCCCGCACCCTCCTTCCCTTTTGATCTGGCCAAAGCCGCTCCTTCCTGCGATTTCTGTTCTTGTCCGTCCCCCGCTCTTGCCCCTGGATCCTGCCTCTGGATCCTTCACAACGACATCCTCTCCTATCGTTCACGTCTCACGTCCCACGCTGTCCCCAAAGCTTCACGTTCTGCCTCGAAACACACGCCCCCAACTGTCGCCCTCACAGAGCATGCCGTCACCACTCTGCTGGTACGGGCCGTCTAGCGGCCGGCCGCTGCGTCTGAATGTGCTGTGCAGGGCGGCAGCTGGATCTGTCCGAGCTCCGTTTCACACCAGCCGCCATCCGCTCTACCCCAGCAATCAAAGCGCCCAGCACTACAGTTGCAATCGCAGCGCAGCCAACCGCAGCAACTGCCGCATGTATTATTACTGCAACCACCACTCCAGCACCACCGGCCAACCGTACCGCCAACACCATTACGACTTTAGCCAGGCACTGAGGCCACCTCAACCACATCAATCTTCGTCGCAGCGTCGCGTGTTCCAGACCTCATCGTCGACTGCGCTTCCGACCATCTTTCCTTCCTCTACGTCAGCCACGTTCACATTAACATCACGCGCCAGCCGACCTCCGCTGTCACCATCACATCTGCCAGCGCCCAGATCTCCGTCGCTTTCCACGCTCCGCCGTCCATTGGCACCGTCTTCGTCATCAGCGTCCTTATCGTCATCACCATCATATTCTTCTTCGTCGTCGTCGTCGTCGTCGTCTTCCGAAACATTGGCACAATTTACACCTTCTTTGTCTCGAAAACAACGGCGCAAATTCGCCCGCTGGCTGCCGGCCCTCATGGCTATCCAGGCACGGTCAAAAAGCGACGACTCGCACTCGCACGCTGCATCCAACGCAAAGGACGGCGACAACGGCCACAGCCATGACCACGCCCACGCCCACTCGCACGGCCTTTTCGGCGGCCACCATCACCACCACGACAATGCCTACCTCACGTCCCAGAACAAGAACGATGCCGGCGTCCGCATCACCCGCATTGGCCTCTACTGCAACCTGGGCATGGCCCTAGCCAAGGGCGCTGGCGGCTACTACTTCAACTCGCAGTCCATGGTCGCCGATGCCTGGCACAGCTTGACCGACCTGGCGTCGGACATTTTGACGCTTGCCACGGTCTCGTGGAGCTTGCGTCCACCGACGGCGAAGTTCCCCACGGGCTTCGGCAAGGTGGAGAGCCTGGGGTCGCTGGGCGTGTCGAGCATGCTACTCGGCGGCGGCATTTTCATGTGCATGAGCAGTCTACAGATCCTGTACGCGCATTTCTTTTTGGATGCAGCAGCTGCCGCCGAGGTCATGGCCCACGGCCACGGCCACGGCCACGGCCACAGCCATGGGCATGACGGCCCAAGCCTACACGCAGCCTGGCTGGCGCTGGGCACCGTGCTTGTCAAGGAGTGGCTCTACCGAGCGAGTGAGTACTCACTCCCCCCCCCCCTCCCCACCCAGCCGTATAATACTCTGATACACGCATGAACATAAAAAAACTAACCACACCCTTCTCAGCTATGAAGGTTGCCCGTGAACGCAAATCGTCGGTCCTTGCATCCAATGCCGTGCACCACCGCGTCGACAGTTTGACAGGCATCGTGACTCTCCTGGCGATTCTCGGCGCCAACCTCATCCACGACGCGTCGTGGCTCGACCCCGTCGGCGGCCTCTTCATCTCGCTGCTGGTCATCCGCGCCGGCTGGGAAAACACGGCCGCCGCGCTCTACGAGCTGGCCGACCGCAGCATCGACGACGACGTGAAGCGGTCCGTGCGCAAGAGCGTCACCAAGGCGCTCGACGGCGGTGCCCTGCTGGCCAATGGGCAGCAGCATCTGGCGGAGCTGCGCGACGTGTCGGGCGTCAAGTCGGGCCAGAACTACCTGGTGGACCTGGAGCTCGCGGTGCCGGGCGACTGGACGGTCGAGGATGTGCGGTCGATTGAGGATGCTGTGCGCACACGGGTGGGCAGCTCGGTGCGCGGCGTGCGGCGGGTGCACGTGCGGTTTGTGAGGCTGGACGAGACGGTCGAGAAGTTTGACGAGTTTATCTCGGGCGACATCAGCCCACGGTCGAGCCCCGAGCCCGAAGACGACGACCACGACCACGATCATGACCAGAACGGGAAGCCACACAAACACTGATGGCCGGCAAACAACGCCATCCAACTGCTTTCAGCCACGTACGTCTCTTGTATGAATGCCAATTGGTTGCACTGGTGGGAAGATTCCGCGCTCCATTGCGGCCTTCCATTGTTTCAATATATGAGAAAAGAGAGATAGAGACAAAAGTAAAGAAAGACAACATATACAAACATCATTTTCTTGGGAATAGCCACAGCTTCACAATGTATTGCTTCCAAATTCCACGTGTGCGCCAAATTGCCAAATTCTCCAAATAAATACCAGATGAAAAAATGCGGCCAGGCCCACCTAAGCTGCCGATATGCGGGCTCGGCGGGCTAAGCCTACCCAGCAAATGGAAAAATACATTTTGCAGCGGGTGTCGACGGCAGTTTAGCCTAAATGGAAAGAGCGATGGGAGCGACGAGGCTGCCGCCACAACCCCTCGAACCCCTCCGAAAATGGGAATTCCGACACCACAGAACATCGAGACCTCGACGCGGCAGGGTACTTTGAGAAAAGGTCGGCAGTTAGCGCGAAGCTTGCGGTCATCGGATCGCCCGTGGGGGGCGTTTGCCCCTGTTTTTTGGTGTATTTTTTGCCGTCGACGACAGGCTATTACTTGACTGAATTGGAAGAATTGGGGAAGCCGTTTTGGGGGTAGTTGTCGCCGCCTTTTTCGCGGTATATCAGATCTCTCGTGGTTTTGAATAGAAGCTCTGGAGTCCAGGCTTTTGTGTATTAACTCTGTTCTTGACAGCTACGTTCGTCTCTCGTCCACGTCTCAGATTATACTGTCGTTCGCTGCGCAAAGCGGTTGCTCCTTCCTCGCAACAACCCCTCCGCGCTCCTTCCACAACTCACCCCAACCCACCTTGACATCATCGCAATGGCGGCAGGTGCTTCCCAGGGGCCCCTGTACTTGGGCTTCGATCTCTCGACCCAGCAGCTCAAAGGTAGGCAGCACAGACTTGCCATGCTTCAGGGGATTCTTCTAGCCGTGTCTTCGTTTTCGTCCGTGTCTACTAACACCACCAGCCATTGTGGTCGCCTCGGACCTCAGCATCGTCGCCCAGGCCAAGGTCGACTTCGACGCCGACTTTGGCGAAAAGTATGGCCTCACCAAGGGCGTTCTCGTCAACGACGAAGAGGGCGAGGTCTACGCGCCCGTGGCCTTGTTCCTCGAGGCCATCGACCTCGTCTTCCAGCGCCTGCACGACCTCAGCAACGGCCCCGGCGTCCTGACGCGCATCCGCGCCATCAGCGGCTCCTGCCAGCAGCACGGCAGCGTCTACTGGTCCGAGGGTGCCGCCCAAGAACTGGCCGACCTGCAGGCAGCGGCGGCGACGACGACGACGACGCGTGCCACGACTGCATCCTCCGCCGCGCCTGCCGACCGCCTGGCCGACCGCCTAGCCGGGTCCTTCTCCCGCCCGTGGGCCCCCAACTGGCAGGACCACAGCACACAGGACGAGTGCGACCAGTTCGACGCGCGCCTCGCCCAGGACGACGCCAAGGCGGACGGTCCCCACCGCCTGGCCGAGGTCACGGGCAGCGCCGCACACCACCGCTTCACGGGCACGCAGATCATGCGCATCCGCCGCAAGTGGCCCGACGTGTACGCCAAGACGGCGCGCATCTCGCTCGTGTCGTCATTTGTGGCCTCGGTGCTGCTGGGCCGCCTGGCGCCCATGGACATTAGCGACGTGTGCGGCATGGACCTCTGGGACATCCCCCACCAGCAGTGGTCGGAGCCGCTGCTGGAGCTGGCGGCCGGCAACGGCGCGCGCGGCGCGGCCGACCTGCGGCGGAAGCTCGGCGAGGTGCGCGTGGACGGTGGCGGCAGCATGGGCCGCATCGCGTCGTACTTTGTGCAGCGGTACGGCGTGTCGGCCGACTGCCAGATTGCCCCGTTCACGGGCGACAACCCGGCGACCATCCTGGCGCTGCCGCTGCGCCCGCTCGACGCCATTGTCAGCCTCGGCACGTCGACGACGTTCCTGATGGTCACGCCGCACTACAAGCCCGACCCCAGCTACCACTTCTTCAACCACCCGACGACGCCCGGCCAGTACATGTTTATGCTGTGCTACAAGAACGGCGGCCTGGCGCGCGAAAAGGTGCGCGACCAGCTGCCGCCCGCGCCCGCGGGCGGCGACCCGTGGGCCAACTTCAACAAGGCCGTGTTGGACACGCCTGTGCTGGGGCTGTCGGGTGCTGGTGGCGGCGGCGACAGCAGCAGCGACAAGGCCAAGCTTGGCCTCTACTTTTACATCAACGAGATCGTGCCCAACATCCCTGCGGGCACCTGGCGGTACACGTGCAACCCGGCCGACGGCAGCGACCTCGCGCCGGCGACCGCGGCGCACACGTCGGCGGAGCAGGATGCACGCCTCATTGTCGAGTCCCAGGCGCTGTCCATGCGTCTCCGCTCGCAGCCCCTCGTGCACGACCAGCCCGGTGCGACGGCCGACGCCCCGCGCCTCCCCGCGCAGCCGCGCCGCATCTACCTTGTCGGCGGTGGCTCGCTCAACCCGGCCATTGCGCAGGTGCTTGGCGAGGTGCTGGGCGGCGCCGAGGGCGTGTACCGTCTCGACGTGGGCGGCAACGCGTGTGCGCTGGGTGGCGCGTACAAGGCGCTGTGGTCGATTGAGCGCACGAGCGAGCACGAGACGTTTGACGAGCTGATTGGCAAGCGCTGGACACCCGAGGGCCAGATCGAAAAGGTGGACGTGGGCTATCGGCCCAAGGAGTTTGCGCAGTATGGCCATGTTGTGGGCGCGTTTGACAAGATGGAGCAGACGATCCTCGGTGAGGAGCAGGCAAAGCGTCACGCCAAGTAACCCCCAGACGCGAACACAATAGACAGCGAAACTCGGCGACTATGCGCGTCGTAAAATACAATAAAAATTCAGGACGTGTCATGACAGTTTAGAAATACATTTTGATTTTCTACGGTATTTATTTGTCGCGTTTGTGGTGCTTTGTAAAATAAATGCCTTTTATTGTTCTTTTTTCGTTTAAAAATTCGCGTTTAAAAATAGCGTCGATCCGTGTGTCATGATCCGATGATGTCTCCTGCGAAAAGCCAACTACGTTTTGCTATGGTTTCTGCCGTCCTTCCCAGATACCGACCAGCGTCACCAAAACCACGCAATTCCAACTTGGACAAAACAACATCCATCACCAACGACCAACAACCGCGACAAACCGCGACAAAAAGCATTCGTTACGCGTCGTTTTCGGCATAGAGCATCCGGCCAAGGACAATGACATCATGAGCCACTCGTTGCCGGCTCCGCACCGGCCCCGGCGCGGCCACGACGCGACACCGCCGCCAGTGCTGCTACCGCCCGTCTCGCTGCTCCATTGCCTCGTCTTCTGCGTCTGCCTTGCACCGCAGCTGCTCCTGCAGGCGGGGATGCGCGCAACCTTTGCGTCCATACTGCAGGCGTTGCCGTTTCTTGTGCTCCAAATGCCACTCGACGTTGCGCACCGGCAGCTTGCAGGCTGGCGGCGCGGCCGAGGCGGCCAGAAGCAGCAGCAGCAGCAGCAGCGGCCCTCCCTATTCGAAGAAGTCGTGCTCTGCTGCGTGCGCTGGGCTTTTATTCATACGGATCCCCGTGTTGGCCGCGTCTTCTTCTCTCGGTCGGTGGCACTGCCATTTCACCGCTTTCGGCAGCTGCAGGCGCTTGGAGCCCGTCGGCTCGTACGGGCCGCTCTTTCTCACGTGTTGTCCTTTACCACATTTCTTCTGCCACCCTTTGCGGCTTCACTCATGCCATGGCCACGGCCTCGGCCGGTGTCCACACTACGCTGGCGAGAGCATCACGATGTAGGGCATTCCCTGCAGGCCGCCCCTTTGACTCCATGTTAACATCGTTCGACAGGAACACTTCAAAGGCATGTGGATAACATACGATGCAAGCCGCCCGCCCGACATTGTTCTATTCTTTGTCCACGGTTGGTCGCGATTTCAAGTCCACACAGAGAGGGCCTTTCTGTCGGCTAACGCAATCGTACAGGAGGCGGCTTCGTTCTCGGGTCGTCGCACTTTTACTTGGAATTTCTGCTCGCATGGGCGGCTCTACTGATGGAAGGCAGTCCTGGGGACGAGAAGCCCGCTGGCTTCCGGAACCCGGCCATCTTCAGTTTAGACTACACGTTGGCCCCGGATGCTGTTTTCCCAGCCCAGATCGACGAGGCTGCCCACGCTTACGCCCATGTCCTGTCTACGGCGGCCCAGGGAGAGCCTGCGCGCATTGTGGTTGCGGGTGATTCTGCTGGCGGCACGATTGTGCTTAGCCTGCTGCTCCGGCTATCCCAGACCCCCCCTTTAGAACGGCCTGCACCCCCGCCCCTTCCCCTGCCGCTGCCGGGTATGGCTGTCCTCATATCGCCGTGGGTGACTCTGCGGTCGCAGCGATACCGCCGGTCGGCGAATGACTACATCGACGCCGAGACGCTTGTGAGTTACGCAGCCCTGTACGAGGGCAAGACGGCTGGCGCACCAGGGATTTCAGGCGAAGACCCCGTCCTCTCGCCGGGCCATTGTCGCGAAAGCAAATGGTGGCGCCGAGCCTGTCCAGCCAAGGGCATCTTTGCAACATACGGCGCGGAGGAGGTGTTCGCGCCCGAGATCCGCGCATGGGTCGACCGTCTGCAGGCCGACGGCGTGGATGTGCAGACGAGCGTGGACGATGGCGGTCTTGGCGTGCACGCATGGCCAGTTGCGTCGCTGTTTCTCGCGCGGTCGAATGCCCGGCGTTTCGAAGGGCTTCGTCGCGTCGTCGGCGAAGTAACACGAAGGATGCGTTAGCTGGAGCGGCTACGTCACACATCTATGACGGGAGAACGTAAGAGAGAAAGTCTGGAATTTTCGAAGGCGAGCACGCATCGGAACACTCCCCGCAGCATTCATGCAAAAGACAAGGACCACGGGGTCGCCGCTCAGATTAGATCAAGTAAAAAAAGGACCGTCACAGGCGTACCGCGCAGACATCAGAACCAGAGCTCGCAACAAACAAGCTCGGCTTCGACCATCGATGCGCGGCCTTGTGGTCGCCTCAGTTGCTCGTTTTTCATCACTGCGGCGTCGAGGGGTTGATCTTGACGCTTTTCCTTGCCCCGTCACTGTTGCCCCGTCACAGCTGGTTGCAGAGCACTTGCTCAGCGGGCACTGTTCGATGACGGAGAGCCACAATAGCGGGAGTGAACGCGCGGTACATTCGTATACCCACTCTAATTAGGCGACTGTGCTCTTGTGTCACATAAAACACGCTTTTGCGCACCTGCGTCGTTGCACACCGTTCGGCTTGAGCGGCTGGTCTCCTCGCAAACCCCATCCGTCTATCCAGGCTGCACACGATCTGCGGCTCAGCCATTTGCCATTTGGATCTGAGTATTCTGCCGTTGTAGCTTCTGCGCGTCTCGAGCGCCCCGTGTTCCCGCTGCCTACCATGCCGACCCCTGGCGCTCATGGATGGAGAGGCATAGCCACGCTCGCATGGAGACATGGAGACATGGAGACTTGGAGCCAGAGACAACGCGTCCAGAGGAGCAAGAGGAGCAGTGTCACTCATATTCGTTCCGCGGTTCCTCTTTGCATGCGTCCCGTCTGTTTGTAGGCGAGGGCAGAACGGTACGCATCGTGCGTTATTGTGCGCTTGCAAAGCGCCATGCGCTGTCGCGTGGGCACAGAAGCGTAGATACGCCCTCTGTGTCTGGTGGTGTTGCGGCAAGGAGTCGATGAAGAGACAAAGACGGGCAAAAGCTAGAGGCGTTGCTAGCTCTGGGCCTGATTCAGGAAGCTTGGGCGTGTTGGTGGGGAGCGAGGAAGCGAGGAAGGAGGCTCCGGTGTGTTGCACCGTATATTTTGGGCCAATCAGAGACGGGCATTCCACACCCCTCTGCCCCGCTCCTTGTTTGGAAGTCGCGCCTGGCGCCGCGTCGCGCATATAAACGGCCGCAATGTCCCACGAAAAATCCGATGGCCTGAAGGGGGAAGAACGCGGAAGGCCGAGAAAGGACCACGACGGAGAGCTCGACTCGCCCCTTCCCACTCCACAACACATGCCTCTTTCCTCCTTTTCTGACCCCCAATAGCTTGTCCACCCCTCCAAAATACGCCAATTGCAGCGCCTTATTCCGTCTTATTCCATCTTACCACGCCAAGGCTCCCCTTCTTTCCCTTTGCATGCGATACACAATACACACGTTGTTCCAGCGTGACTTGCCTTAACTGGTCGACGGTCTTTTCGTGCGCTCCTGCCGAATTGCCAAGCAGTTGCGCACAATACTCCGTACAGGCAACAGCTCTTTTTCGGTACAAAAGTCCTAGGACGGAGTCGAGTCCGTGAGGAGCATATTCGAGGTAAATATGCACAGTCCCCTGCCGCTGCCACCACACCGCATTATTTCGAGACGCATTGGCACCTGTCATTCTTTGCGTACAGGCAGCTGGCTCCTCCAACAACAATACGTTTCTGTGACAATACGCCCTGACGACAGGTTCCGAGCCATTTCACCTGTGTTGTCGGTCCTTGTGTTGTCGGGTTGCTGTTTCCTTTTATGATTTGGGAACTCGCGGATGCGCCAACAACACGCACCAGCCCCACTTCCACGCTCCCCCGTCTTTCCTTCCCTTCCTGGCGACTCTACTAACACCCATTGGCACCAATCCAGAGCAGTCTTGCCTCTTCCTCATTCTACGGTTCTTTCCCAGGCAGAGCTCGGGCAATTGCCAGCGGCAACTTTTCAAGAGACTCGCATTGTGGGCCACACCTGCCGCCGAAAGCAGCAAAGTCGTCCCAGCTCCAGCTCTTGCCAAATTAAAAGTCTGCAATTTCGCGCACAGGACACCATAGCTCCCTTTCAACTCCCAAACGGGTCAAGCAAGCTGTGAACAAGGCCAAAAGCCAAAAGGCCAAACCCATACGACCCGAAAACCCGCCGCCGTCGCCGCCAAAAAAAAAAAAAGGTCGATATTAGCAAGGCGGGCGCGCGCTCCCTCGCCCTGCCACCAATAGTACACATAAGCGCCATGTCGGGCGACGGGGGTTACGCTCCCAAGTCTCCGGACCTGTCATCCTTTTTCTCGGATCCGGCACCACCAACTCAGCAACATCAACATCACCAACAGCAGATCCCTGCGTACCACCAGCAGCAACAGTACGGCCAGCAGCCTTCCTACCCGCCCCAGCAGCACGTACAGTCTCCCGTACAGCAGGGCTACTACCAACCCCCACCACAACACTACTCCACCGCACACCAGCCGCCGCCGCCGCCGCCGCCGCCCCACAACCTGGGCCAGTTGTCGTCGTTTCTGCAGTCACCGCCACAGCAGCCGTCGACATCACCACAGCCGGGTCACCAGCAGCAGCAGCAACGGCAGTCGCAGTCCTATTACGTTCCACCGGGCCAGTCTGCGCAGCCGCCGTACTACCAGGGCTACTCTGTTCCTCCATACCAGCAGCAGCAGCAGCAGCAGCAGCAGCAGGATCTCTTTGCAAACGACTCGTATCAAAGCGACCCGTTTTTGGCGTTGCAGCAGCAACCGGGACAACAGCCGCCCTACGACCGGCCGCAAAACTACGCGCAGCCCGCATCGCCCACCCCGAAAACAGAGGGGATGCCGCCACGAAGATCAGCCGCCGCCGCAGCGGGCGGACCAGGACCAGGACCAGGACCAGATGCTGCAGGCTCGCTGGCAGCCCCCGTGGGCGCAGCGCCACCTGTAGCTCACGTTGTTCTCACGTCACCCGTACGCACCAAGTTCCCGACGGCCCGCATCAAACGCATCATGCAGGCGGATGAAGAAGTCGGCAAGGTGTCCCAGCAGACGCCGATTGCCGTTGGCAAGGCCCTGGAGATGTTCATGGTGAACCTCGTGTCCAAGAGCGCCGATGTGGCGCGCACCAAGAACTCGAAGCGCGTGACAGCGCAGATGCTCAAGCAGGTTGTGGAGTCAGACGACCAGTGGGACTTTCTCCGGGACATTGTGAAGAAGGTCGACCCGGAGGAGAAGCACGGCCGTGGGCCGCGCAACAGCACGGGCGGCCAGGGCGCGGCCGGCGGTGATGCCAACAGCGGCGGACCCGCCAGCGGGACGAAGCTCAAGTTTGAGAGTGACAGTGGGGACGAGCAGCCGAAGAAGCGCGGGCGTCCTGCCCGGAAGAAGAAGGTATAGAAAGACGCTGTTTGGGGCTTGCTGGGCGTTATTGATTTATGTATTTAGGGGCGTACTTTGAAAGCATTGCGTTCGTGATGGGGAATGGTGGTCCTCTCTCTCACTCTCTTTCGTCACGTTGTTTTCATCTCGTTTTCAGCATTTCATCTACATGCACGGGTTTTAAAATTATTTACAAAAGCTGGTCATGATCTCCATTGTCATTGACTCTTCACCACAGCCGCTCTGCCTCCAGTCGAAACTCGAGCTTTTCCATAGTCTACCGGTCCGTTGTTTCACTCGCGATACAATACATTTGCATTGCGTTTTCATAGATTCTGGCATCATGGCCTCTCCAGAAATGAGCTTCTCTGGACGGCAGAGAGTCTTCCGTTGGCCATTCGTCTACGTCGCAACGCCTTTTTTTCCCTTTGTGTCGCCCAAATGCCAATTGCCAACACATTAATGTATGCTATCCTCCCTTCCCAATGTAGCCTTGCATAGAAAACATGCAGACACGCAAATTACGCCTTTCGTGATAGGCCTCGAATCACAGGCAAAAGCCGATGTCCTCGCATTCGTGTCCGTTTCTCGTACAGCCCTAAAAAGCTCTCTGTGCAGTGGGACGCCCTATCCCGAAGAGGGCCTAGTTGTCTCCTGCCTCGGGGCTGTTGTCTTGGTAGCCTTATCCCCTGCAGCGGGCCTTGTTTCTTACTCAGTGGCTCTTGTCCCCTTGTCCCCTGCCAGACACGCCGACATTGGACTGGACACGAACTGAACAGTTTGGCAAAACCCCAACTGTCAGCCCCACCACGCAAGATTGGGAATTGAGGCCAATTGAGGCCACTCGTCGCCATCTGAAGCATTGAAACCGCGTCTAGGAGGACCCCTACAACGTACTAGCTACGACGTATTATTGCCGTGGGCCGTGGACCGTGGGTCGTGGCTGCCTCTTTCATCCATCCCAACTCGAAAGCACAGAATAAATGGCAAGAACCACCTGTTCGAATCGGCTTCGGCACCTTCCACGCGGAGCGTCTTTTTCAACAGACGTCGAGAACGTAGACCTGACTTGCGCCTGCCGCCCATTCGTGTCTCACACGCACCGGTCGCACCTCCCTTGACCCTCCGCCAGACGCCCTTTGTTCCTTCCAATTGTCTACGAGTAGCTCCTATTTGTCACCCCAATCGTTTGTTGCTCGATTTCTTGTTTTGTTATTTTATTTTGCCATCGACACACACTCTTTTTATGCTTCGACGCATTCTTCGACACTGCTACGATTTCCCTTTTCCTCGTCTGGTGTTTTGGTCGCTCCGTGCATTGGTCGGCCGTGACCCGCTTGTTCCGCTACTTCCGTGTCCGCGATCCCCATCTCCAGTGCATTTCTGTGCATTCCACCGCCTGCTGTATTATTCCCCCCTTTTTTCCTCAACCTCAACTTCAACCACCAACGCGCAACACGCTCACAGCCAACGCCCCGGCTGCCAGCGCAGCTCTTCCGCGCCCCGTTACCCGCCCGACATCTCCGACATCCTTTCTTTTCTTTCTGGAGCCTGCATTTCCTCTTTTGGGCGGCTTGTGCGTGCTCCTGCCCCGGCTCCAGCACCCACCACATGCCGATCTGTCGCGACGGACGACTTTGAGCTTCAGTCTGCCTCGAATCGATCGCTGGCTCCTCGCCACTCCCTTTTGGACCTCGTCACCTTGACCTCAGATGTCTTTTCGATCCTCTTTGAGCTCGCCCTCCTAGTCCGCTTTCTTCTCTCGCGCCGGCCACCTTCAGATGTCTCGTTTCCACCGACGTTTCCCCTCCCATCCCTCGAGTTTCCCGGCGCTCCAGCAGTAGACACACCATCTCGACGAGGACACCACTGCTCGTCTCGTGTCTGTCTGCTGCCAGCCCTCGCACATCGACCTCAGCCGCCGCCCAACCTTTCCCATAGCTGACACCCCCGAACCCCACTCCGCCCAATGTCGTGGCATCTGCTCCAGCGGTTCCTCGACAGTGACGTCTTTAACTCAGACCCGTTCCTCTCTGTGTCCTACCTCTCGTGAGTGGCACCCTGTCCCTCCGCTGGCAGCTCTTCGCACAACTAACCGGCCGACCTATAGCCGCTATGCCGACCACATTGGCATTCACCATGTTCTCTGCAATAAGCTGCGCCAGTTCCCGTACGAGGACATCGAGTTCTTCCTCCCCCAGCTGTGCCACCTTATAATCAGCGTCAACAATGAGTCTATGGCTCTGGAGGAGTTTCTCCTGGACCTCTGTGAAGAATCTGTGACGGCTGCACTTCTCGTCCGTCTCCCCTTAACCTCTCCTTTCCTCATGATTCTATGACATCCGCAGCGTTTCTAACTGGCTAGACCTTTTGGCTCTTCCAAACATACCTCCACGATCTCTCCTCGAACCCCCAGACAGATGCCTTCCAAACTTGTCGACGCGTTTACAACAAGGTCCAACATATCGTTTTCGGCCTTCCGGACACGTCCCGCCAAGAAAAGATCACCGAAAATGTCCTGCCAGTCACCGTCCTTGCCAGCTTTGTCCTGGCCAGCATTGGCCTTCCCATGCTCCCACAATGGGCAGGGCCCATGGCGATTGCCCAGGCACGCAAACCGGCCCCGCCGGGAGAGACCTCGGCGGCTGGCGGTGCTTCTGACACGGAGCAAAACGATCCGCCAAAGAGGCCGGCACGGTCTCAGACGGTCACACCCACCTCCACCAAGTCGCGGCGCACAAAGGATATCAACCGGGCTTCCAGCGGGTCCAGCATTGCTACGGCCGCAAGGGCATTAGAGACGGTGACCAATATTCCGACACCGAACAGCCCTCCCGAAACAATGCGTTCGCCGCCCAAGGATCAGTCGATCCGGTCACCGAAGCAGCGCCAAAAGCAGACATCCGGTTCGTCACGACCTGGCTCCTCGTCGAGTCTTCACGCGCCTCCCGCTCGGCCCTCGGAGCCGAACCGCCGGTCGCTACCGCCAAGCGCTCAACACCAACACCTCGAATCGATCTCGCTTGAAGCGCGGCTCAGCTCGTCGTCCCTGCCCCTGCCCGATATGCGATCGCCGCGCATGGCCACTCGGCCCCCTACGCCCGTATCAGCAGGCCTCAACCCACCAGACAGCATATCGGCGCTCTCTCGTCGGCACTCCCACCATCACGCAAAACCACGAATCGCCAGCGTAGGCGACATGACGTCCGAACAGAAGGCCCGGTTACTGCGACAGAACTACTTCCGATGCGAAACCCAGTTCTTGCGCGCCCTCGAGGACATCTCCAACCGGCTGGTCAGCGTTCCGAAGGCCGCTCGGCTGAGTGCCCTGCGTGCCGAGCTGGCCCTCATCGGCCAAGACTTGCCCGCCGAAGTCGACATTCCGGTCATTTGCCCGCCGTCTCTGGTGAATGGCATCCCCAGTCGCAGCCGACACCACCGCATCGTTCGCTTGAACCCGGCTGAATCCACGGTGCTCAACAGTGCGGAGAAGGTGCCGTATTTGCTCATGGTAGAGATTTTGCGCGAAGATTTCACGTTTGATCCAGACTCGGCCGACAACCAGAGATTGCTTGTCAGCCTTGTGGCAGAGCAGGGGTCTCGGAAACGCATATTCGACCTTTCAGATTCGGTTCGGAACCCAAGCACACGAGCTGCGGATGCAGCAGCCGCTGCGGCTGCTGCTGCAGAGGCAGCTGCGTTGCTGGAGCCGCCGATTGACAGTGTGTTTGAGCCGACGTCTGGCGATCTCGGAAACTCGCCTATGCTCAAGCCGTTTGACGACGAGGACGACGGCGCTTTCCCCTCTACAAAACGAAGCGTCTCTGGCTCTATCATGTCGCCAGCCGTCGCTGGCAGCGGATCGCATCGCAGCCATCCGCTGAACAATCACTCTTCTTCGTCTTCTCTTGCGAACCGACACGCCAGCGGAGGTGCAGGATCGATATCATCAACAGGTGGTGCGCCGACCTCGTCAAACGCCACCGCACCAACCGCCTTGTCTGACGGAACTCCGCGTAGCTCTGCGGCTTCTACGTCGAGGTCCAGTAGCCCCGGGCCTCTTCTCCGCAAGATGACGCTTCCCATGATTCGGAATCAGCACAGTGCCGACCAGCCCGACTTCTCGGCACTCGCCACGCACATGCGGACGGCTTCGCAGATGCTGGCGCAACTGGACCAGACCAGTGGGAAGAGACCGCGGCAAGAGGTGGCTGCCATTCGTGCCAAGATCATCGCCAGCATGCAGAGCCTCGAAGAGCAGAGCTTTGACATTGACGACAACCATGGCCCGACGTTTGATACCATTGTCGCCAAGACGGGCGTTAATGTCAACAATGCCGTTGTGCCTACGCCGCCGGTCAACGCGCTTGGTCTGGCCAGCGAGGAGGGATCCCGAGTGAATGTCTCGGACCCGGCCCTCGTTCGCAGCAGCGAGGAGAACGAGGATGCGGCCGCCTCTGCCGGGGCAGACGCCGCCGCGGCCGCGGCCGCTACGTCTGTGAACCCAAACGCTGGTATTGCGCGCATGGAGAACGACTTCAAGACGGGCGGTCTGCAGCGCAAGGGCGACCGGGATGACCCCAGTGCCGCCGTGTTTGGCGAGGCTTGGGACATCAAGCGCGAGCGCATCCGGCGGTCGTCGCCGTACGGCTGGATGAAGAACTGGGACCTGGTCAGCGTGATTGTCAAGACGGGCGCCGATCTGCGGCAGGAGGCGTTTGCCTGCCAGCTGATTGCGGTCTGCGACAAGATCTGGGAGGACGCCGGCGTGTCTGTGTGGGTGAAGCAGATGCGCATCCTGGTGACGGGCGAGTCCTCGGGCCTGATCGAGACGATTACCAATGGCGTGTCGCTGCACTCCATCAAGCGCAGCTTGACGCTCGCCTCGATCGAGTCCGGCCAGAACCCGCGGCGGCGTATCGCAACGCTCAAGGACTACTTTGTCAAGGCCTTTGGCGCGTCCGAGAGCGAGGCGCACCGGGCTGGCGTGGACGCGTTCAAGCGGTCGCTCGCGGCGTACAGCATGATCTCGTACGTGCTGCAGCTCAAGGACCGGCACAACGGCAACGTGCTCGTGGACAGCGAGGGCCACATTGTGCACATTGACTTTGGCTTTATGCTGTCGAACTCGCCCGGCTCGGTGGCCTTTGAGGCGGCGCCCTTTAAGCTGACACACGAGTATGTCGAGGTGTTGGGCGGCATTGGGTCGTCTGACTTTGACGACTACAAGCGTCTGTGCAAGCAGGCTTTCCAAGGTGGGTGCCCGGACGATGGTGTCGATGTTTTTTGTATGTATGTGTGCATATGTATCTCGGGCTAACTCGTCTGACAGCACTCCGCAAGTCTGCCGACAATGTGATTGACCTGGTCAGCATGATGGGCCGCGACTCCAAGATGCCGTGTTTCGTGGCCGGCGTGACGCAGACGACGGCCAACTTGCGGCAACGCTTCCAGCTGCACCTGAGTGCCGAAGACGCCGAGCAGTTTGTCGAGACAGAGCTCATTGCCAAATCGCTCGGCAGCTACTACACGCGCCTGTACGTTACGTTTTTTTTGGCACCCGCTTTTTGATCATAAAGTTATGCTGGTAGCAGTATGGCTAATCTGTGTTTACAGCTACGACACGTTCCAGTACAGGACCCAGGGGATCTACTAGTAAAGTCCTGGGGGCGCATTGGCGGAAATGGCAATGGGCGACGGCCGATATCATGTCTGTAGGAGGCATCGGCACAGCATCTACGAATCACGGCGTCTGTTTGTTTTTGTCTTGTTTATATTTTTGGTCGTTTTTCTCTCACTTTTGTTTTCTGTTTTCTGTTTTATTGTTTTTTTAACTATATCTGGCTTGCACTTCTTTGTCAACAGCAAGGCAACGACGTTGAAAAAAAAAAACCTAGCACTGGCGCGCTTTTTATACACATCATTTTGGAAAAGAAAAAAGGTGGAAAACCTTGCACATACAGACGATAAACCAGGCAGAAATGGCACTGGCCTATGGGCCCTTTTGACTACACGTTTTGGGATGCTGTCTAATATGTGAATTTCCAATTATGTGACCAGGCCAACTACCACGTCGTCAGCATTTAATTATCAGTGCGGTATTGTTGTTCCAGCACAAATTTGCTATTTTCACAAAGGAGCAATGCAAGCGCGTGGATACGCTGTATATATACATGCTTGACAATCACTTGGTGAGCACGACTTTTTCCAGGTTAGGCATATGCTCTCTTCTATAGTGATTGATTAGCATGCATTGTTTACTGACAAAAAGAGGTATTTACTCGTACAGAAAAGTAAATGGCTCGTAACAAATACACCACACATGCTCCAATGACACATGCTCCAATGGCCGTCCCCATCATGCCGTGTCTTTCCGTCTTTCCAGTTTTCTTGCAAAACCTCATGTAAAAATCACAATCAAAACCACGCCCTTCCCAGGGAATCGTTCTTTCATCCTGCGCGCCTACGAGGTCACGCCCAGCCGCTCAAGACGCTCCGTGACCGCCTCCACCATGGCCGTCTCGCGCTCGAGCAGTTTCGTGACCTGGGCCATCTTGGCTTTGCGCACGTCCGCCGGCACCTGGAGTGCATGGCTGAGGCGAGACGAAGCGGACGTGCCAGATCTGCCCTCGGCACCGGCCGTGTTGCCCGTCACAGAGGCCGGCGGCGAGGGTGTGCTGGTCCGGCTATTCACGGACACCAGCGAGGCCACGGATGACTTGATGTCGTCCGTGGATGTGCCGCCGCCGCCGCCGCCGCCGCTCTTCTGCAAAATGCCGTCGGCCTGCTTGGACAGGTCATCCCACAGGCCGCGAATCTGCACGACGCGGAGGCCAATGTCGCTGGCGGCCTTGGACGGCGAGGCTGGGCCGAGCAGTTTTGTGTTTGTGGTGGCACTGCTGTCGGCATCGGACGGGACCGCCGCCGCCTTTTGCAGGCTGGTATCGAGCGCCTGGACCTCTTGGGACCACACACGCTCCTTGTCGCTGAGCGGCCGGGCCGAGGCACGGCCAAACGTCCGCCGCAGCCGCTCCATGCGCTCCGTCAACGCCTTGTGCCGGTCCTGGGCCTGCTGCAGACGCTGCCGCAGGCGGACATTGTCGGTCAGGCCGCCGTCCTGGTCGTCGTCGGCGCCTTGGTCTTCGCCGGCAATCATGTCAATGCGGCGCTTCAGGGTGTAGGTCGACTCGACCTGTTCGCGGAGGTGGATCGGCAGGTCCTCGAGTTTGGTGAACATTTGCGCCGCTGCGTGGTTCAGCCGGCCCGTCTCCTTGCCCACGAGCTTGTGCGCGTTGGTGAAGATGGCCAGCGTCGCCGGTGAGAGACGCACCTCCTGGTGCTGCAGCATCTGGTAGCGGCTGGAAAACAGCATGTTCTTGGCCTGCGACAGCTCCGACTTGGCGAGCAGCTCGGGCGGCGTCTCAAACGCCGGCCGGGCCTTCCAGAAATCGAGAGCGAGCACCGCCTTGTCTTCGGCCTCTTCGGCGGCGGATCGTGCCGCTGTCGTCTGAAAAGCAGCAGCGTTGCTGGTATTGTTGTTGTTCTGGCTGCTGCTTTCGAATCCGGGGGCCGCGCCGCCAAAGCCGCCATCCTCACCGTCCGGGGATTCGAAGCACATGGCCACTGGTGCGTGCTCTGTCGCAGAGAGCAGAAAGTAGCCAAGATCAGGGTCCAGAAGCGATGTGCACGTCGCCAGGGCCTCGTCGCGGTTGTGCGTGTACACCCGCTGCCGCTGTGTGTTCTCTCCCGTGACGAGCTGCCGCACCCGGAAATCAGCCCCCGTGTCCGTGCTCTCTTGCAGCTCCTGCTCCAGGCGGAACACCCACGACGACAGGGAGATGTTGGTGATGCCGCCGGGGTGGGTAATGTAGAACGAGTAGCGCGACGTGACGTCGGGACTGAATGTGCACCAGCCGCCGGGGCGCTGCTCCGACCCCCGCACGACGTCGACAACCTGGAATGTCAGCAGAGGACGTGCAGACGAGGGTGCCGTATCCAGCGACGCTGTACTCGATGACCGGCCGTTCAGGATGCTGCCGCTCAGGCTGCTCTTGTGGGCGTGGTGGCCGCGGTGTGGTAGCCACTGCGCCTCGACGCCCACGAGGTCGAGACAGATGTGCAGTTTGCCGGTTGTCGAAACCAAGCAGATGACGGGCAGAGACAGGCCCTCTTGGTCTTCTCTGTCAATCAGATCTTCGTACTGCAACTCGTCGCCTTCGTCGTCGTCGCCCGTCAGGAACTCGGTGTCGATCCGTTCGCCGATGACAAAAATGTCGCAGAGCTCGCCGATCAGGCTCTCGCCCTCGTCGTCCGACTCGTCGTCCAGATCGACTTCCAGCGGGCCCTGCAATCGGGGAACGATGCTCGGGTTGGAAGGCCGTGTGTAAATTTCAGTGGGTGGCTCGTGGCCGGACTGCGCGGCCGAGTCGACAATTGTGGGCTCTTGGTTGTCGATCTGGGTCATCCAGTCCAGTTGCTGGCGGGCGAGTTGTCTGGCGCGAGGGGTGGTGTTCGGGTCGTCCTCGACAGCGGCCAGGTTCGAGACGATGGCGACAGAGAGAGAAGGGATCAAGGCCGTGGGCGGCGCAAAGCGCTTGGGCAACAGGGGACACAGCGCGTACACGTCACCGCCCAGCATGGCCAAGTAGAGCGTCATGGACGACCAGCCACCCGAGCTGCGCGGCCCAAAGCAGGCCGCTGCCACCTCCATGTCGAAGAAGTCGGGCGAGTAGCCGGTGTTGGTGTTGGCTGACGCGCCAAAGTCCTGGTCAAGCCACGTGCCGTCGGCAAGCTTCTTCACATCGATCGACAGGGACGGCGCATCAAAAGACCACCGGTCGACAGGCGAGATCTCCCAGAGGCGGACAACGGCGTCTCGCGTGATGGTGACGATGGCGGAGCCATTCACTCCCAGCGGATGCCACAGGGCCGAAACGACGGGCTGGCGCGTCGTGACGTGGGTGGTCGGGCCCAGGGTGAAGTAGCGCGTCTTGAGCGGGACGTCGGGGTCTTGGGCAGCCACGAGGTGGGACGGATCGGGCAGAACACAGATGTGGACGGTGTGCGTGGTGAGGATGGCCATGTAGTTGGCCTGCGGAGAGATGACGAGCTGCCGGATGTCGCTGGCGACGGGCGGCTTGAGTGTCTGCTTGCGTGTTAGTAGAGACATGGACTACGCACCACACCCCATCAGCAAAGGACAAGGGACAAGGAGGCTTACCCGGTAGGCTGGTGTCGAGGGAGCCGTGTTGCTCGTGCTCTTGGTGAAGCCGTCTTGTGTGGTTTCCCACGCGTCCTTCATCGAGACGAGATCTGCCCACCGGATTTCCCGTCCATTCGCAACAAACACCTCCGTACCCCGCCGGGCAATCGTCCGTTTGGGGCCCGGGATGTATGCCTGCTTCTTGGGGCTACCGTAGGCGGAGGCTGAGTGTGGGCTGGCTGTTGATGCGGCCAGGGACGATTTGCGTGCAGTTGCTGCCGAGGATGCGAACAGGCCGCGGCCGTCGGTTGAGTCCGTGGACAGCCATGCCGGCGTGAACGAACGAATTTTCGGCATTTTTCGAGGATCTTGTAGACGGGGACGAGGGTCGCGAGAGAAGGAAAAGGCACGTTTGAGGAGGAGACGACAAATGTGCAAAAGCAGACGTCGGAAACGAAGCAGAAGACGCTCCTCTGTTGTGCAGCTTGGATCGAGAAGCCTGGACTTGTGGCAGCGCAATCAATCTTCTGGGCGAAATGCTGGCCGCCTATCTCGCCAAAGGATGCCGGCTGTGCGCAACGAGGATAGTTGTGGCAGTCGTGGCCAGGGAGTAGGGAGTTTGCTTAGACGAGGCTCATTTTGACGATGGTGATTTTTTGTGTCTATCTGCCAACCACTTTTGGGGACCTGACTTTTTGGGGGGCGCGTCGCTGCAGCAAATGGCAAGCGCGGCGGTCGTTTCTTTGCGGCTTGCATGGCAGGAGCGACTCAGATGCTGTGGCTCAAGCTTTACCAGCCACAAATTGTCCCAATGGGCCCATTTGCCCAAGAAAGGCAGGCGCCCCACTGTTCACTGGCGCCGGACCTGCAGCCGCTAAAAGTGAACTGTGCTGTATGGGGCCTTGCGTCTACGACTTTCTTTCTGTCTGCGCCTCTCTGCTCGACGACTGGGCTTTTGCGACGAGCCCTCCAGCACAACACAACCATGGCTCCCGTACAGGAACAACAGAGCACGGTCGACCGTCTGGATCGGCCGAGCGCCTACTTTGATGCGAAGGTGGGTGTGCCTATGTGACCTTGCACTGACGTTACCGTCTTCCATCGTGACCTTTTGTCCTTTTTGCTGACGTTCGCTCCCTTTGGCCAGAGACGGCGGAACAACCATCGCCACCGCGACGACATTGAGGCCGAGGCCCCTGCGGAAGACCCCCTCGCCAATGCGACGACGCTCTACGTGGGCAACTTGTAGGTTGGCACGGTTGCGCTGCGCGCTCTCGCGCTCCAATTGGCCTCGACGAATGAGAGCTGTGAAGCTGACGAACAATCCTTTCCTCCAGGTCATTCTATACAACCGAAGAACAAGTCTACGAGCTGTTTTCCAAGTGCGGCGAGATCAAGCGCTTGATCATGGGCCTCGACCGGTTCAACAAGACCCCCTGCGGCTTCTGCTTCGTCGAGTACTACACGCACCAGGACGCCCTCGACTGCATGAAGTACATTGGCGGCACGAAGCTGGACGAGCGCATCATCCGCACAGATTTGGACCCGGGCTTCCAGGAGGGCCGGCAGTACGGCCGCGGCAAGTCGGGTGGCCAGGTGCGCGACGAGTACCGCGACGACTTTGACGAGGGCCGCGGCGGCCTGGGCCGGGCGCTGCAGATGGAGCGAGACGCGGCACAGGAGCGCGAACGGGAGCGCGAGCGCGAGCGGCGTGCCAACCGCGACCGTGAGCGGGAGGGCGACCGTGACCGCGACCGGTATGACCGGGGCGGGCGCAACAACCGGGGCCATGACCGCGATTACCGCAACGGGGGCGGTCGCGACGCAGCGCTGGAGGGCGACTTTGATGACGTCCGGTGAGCCCTCCAAAGAGGATGGGGTGCAGATGGTCTGCACGTCAAGGGTAAAAACTACGGGTTCTAGGGAGTTTATTGTATTCAGTTCTTTCCAACGTGTCGTGTCTGCAGTGCACGCCAACGCGCCAAATGAGGATCATTGGTTGATCAGGTTCATTGTTTTTTTTTGTAAGCATCCTTTTGCAATTGCGACTTTCGTATTAAAGCGGAACGCCCAAAACGTTCAGTTCGTTTTCATTTCTATATACACATGATGTTTTGTGGGATATCGTACAAGCCAGACCATATGCTGGCGGTAAGTAAAAAGGAGAATACACGAGGGCCAAGGTCTCCGTTGTCGTCGTCGTCGTTTCGCAACGTCGTTCTTAGTAACCCGGCGGGTTAATTCTCTGGGACACTCTTGTCCACTTCGGTAGTCCTAATAACAGTTAGTCAATGGGCCCATCGATCCTCTCCTTCGTCTGTGGAGGGCCCGAACGTACTGTGAATACCCTTCCGATACCGCTTCGCCTTGCGGTCAAAGATTGTGTACTTGTCGCGTGCCTGCATCTCCTCCTCCTTGGGCATCTCCTCCTTCCAGCGCTCCAGCGCGTTCAGCGTCTGGCCCTGCTTCGCGAGCGCCGTGTCGAGTGTGCCGATGACCGTGTCGACGGCCTGCAGCCGCTTGCGTTGGCGGTACTTCTGGAACCGGGACAGCCGCCATGGGATTTTCCTGCAGAGAGGGGACAGTTAGACCAGAGTCGGCAGGGCGGACAGCCTGGATGTTGCTCTTCGTACCATAGAAGACCGCCGCTGAGCGGGTTCGTCGCGCGAAAGGGGCCGAGACCAAACATTGTGAGGGCGCCGGAGTTGTGGTTTGGCCGAGTAAGGTGAGGTGGACTTTGAGAGACGAGAGTTTGGCGGTCGATTTTTTTCGAGGCTGTCGACAGGTGGACATGGTGGAGCCGTAAGGCTATTGGCCAATCACATCAAGCCATTGAGTTGAACAGCGGCAGCCGCGTCAGTATCTCGCTGGACAGCAACTCTCCACGGCAGCACGTAGAGATACACGACGTTGTCGTTTGATAATTAATTCGCATTTAAAGAATTGTAGATGATACTCCCTAAACGAGATTTCTTGTTCAACACAGCTACTGTAATTGGATTGTGTCTAAGATTGAACGAAAGTCGCCGACTACGACAGCACGTGACTTGAACCCCAAGGCGCTAAAATAGATACAGCTTCATGCTGCCGCAGCTACTGTGTTACAGGGGCATCTTCAGCCAACGGGCATCACGCACAGCGTGCCTCGAAGTGACGACGATACAAGCCGAAGACAGAGGCACGGCCACGACAGACGAACGACAGCAGCCAGCAAACCGACGAGAGTATACGCACGCGAGATACACGACGGGAAATCCAGTCTCACCCCCGTTTCCACTTCTCTCCCCTTGCAGTCGGCCGTTGGAGAGGACCGCTTCAAAACCGCCCAGACCGCCATGTCCTACTACTTTGCCATTGTCGGCACGCAGGACAACCCGTTGTTTGAGTACGAGTTTGGCACGTCGAAGCAGGGCGGCGATGGCCAGGCGCACTTTGCCGAGCAGGCGCGCCACCTGAACCAGTTTGTCGTCCACAGCAGCCTCGACGTTGTCGAGGAGGTGCAATGGGGCGGCAACGGCCAAATGTGCGTGCCCCCCCTACCCCTACCTACTTACACCCTGCCGTCGTCCAGTTGTCGCGCGTCTCCCCCCTGACACATGTTCCAGGTACCTCAAGTGCGTAGACAAGTTCTTCCACAACTACGTGTCGTGCTTCATCACGGGCTCCAACGCCAAGTTTCTGCTGCTGCACCAGCCGACGACGGCGTCCAATGCGTTTGCCTACGGCTCCGGGGCCGGCGGCATGGGCGCGGCAGGCGGGCCCCTGATGGGCGCCAGCGGTCTCCTGGGCGCAGGCAACAATGCATCGTCTGCGGTGACGGCGGCTGCCTCGTCCCGCGCGTCGACATCCATCGGGGCGAACCCCACGAGCGCTGCCACCGAGGAGGCCATCAAGAACTTCTTCAACGAGGTGTACGAGAACTGGGTCAAGACGACCATGAGTCCCTTTTACAAGGCCAACATGGAGATACGGAGTCCGGTGTTCCGCGCGCGGGTGGCCGCTGCTGGCAAGAAGTACTTATAGGACGGTTCAGGCGGCAAAATGGGGCACAGGGATGGAAGGGAGCAAGTCTCGCTCCTAGACAGCTTGATGGGGTTGACGAGGATTATGATAGACACCCACCATTGATACCAGTTCCAACTAGACGCGGTCGTTGTTTACGTTTACAGCGCAGTAACAGTCATGAGCACAGTGAAAGAACCAGAATGCGAGAAAATATGTACCATGTTATGATTGGTGTCATCGTGCAGAGCGACAGCGTCGTCACGCGTCATATCTAGCACTAAAATCCGTTGCAAAACGCCCTCCCCAAAGTAACGCCCAGTACACAAGGTCGCACAGATCCTGAACCCTTGGTACCCCATTCGTAAAATCAAAACAGACACTCGAGGCACAAGGCCCCCCATTTCGTCCACCAGTTGGGTATCGAAGTTGTTCAACCGCCGAAACCGTATAGGGTACGGCCCTGGCGCTTCAGAGCGTAGACGACATCGAGCGACGTGACAGTCTTGCGCTTGGCGTGCTCAGTGTAGGTGACGGCATCACGGATGACACCCTCCAGGAAGGACTTGAGAACACCGCGGGTCTCCTCGTAGATCACTGTGATGGTTGTTAGTATTGGGACAATGCTGGTCTTGTGTTGTGAGAACAGGATAACATACTGCCAGAGATACGCTTGACACCGCCACGACGCGCCAGACGGCGGATGGCAGGCTTGGTGATGCCCTGAATGTTATCGCGAAGAATCTTCCGGTGGCGCTTGGCACCGCCCTTGCCGAGGCCCTTGCCGCCCTTGCCGCCTAGAAGAAAGCAATGTTAACATCAAGTTGAGAAGGCATTCATCATTCCGAGACGATGTCCATGTCAAGTAAACTTGACAAAGGCTTCAAGTCACATCGCGATGTTTACCCCAAGGCTGAGACCCATCGCAGCAGATAGATCGTAGAGCCTTGTGCCCAATCGGTGATGCTTCAAGTGCCAGGTGTCGATGCTTGGAAGAAATAGTTAACTTACGTCCAGTCATTTTGATAAAAAGGTAAAGTGGTTGGAAGAAAATAAAAGTAAACAGTTGTGGATGCGAATAGACGCGTGGCGATGATGGATGATGAAATGCCGGATGTGATGATGGAGAAGAGAAGAGAGGAAAGGAAGAGGGGAAGGGGGAAGAGAGGGCGAATTTAAAAGGAAACGGGAAGAAGGGTGGGAGGGACGGATCTAAAAGGAAAGCGCGAAGGGCCAGGGGGGAATCGCCAAAAACGGGCCAACAGAGGGGCGAAAACATGCAAATCCAGAGGGCCAAAACACGGCGTGTCAGACGGTTGGCTGATGCGAGCTGATCTGGGGGGATTCCACCGGGCAAGAAGAGACCAGAAACAAAGAAAAGACCACGGGGCTTGACGACTACGGCGGGGTGCACGGCTGCGCGACAAGGATGCCTTTTTTCCCTACAAAGTACGAATCGTATTTTGCGGGTGGATTGCAGCATTGCAGAGAGATATTATGGCCGTTGCGGCTGCTAGACCTGTTTGGGCGATCGCTCCTTCTGCAAATTCGTTGTTCTTCTTTTTCTGTTGCGGTGTTATTTTTTCATTCGTCACGTATTTTCCCCTGCTTGCACGGTCTGGGTGGAGTCCTCTTGCCGTCTGTTGGGTTGCTGATTGTGGAAAGAGTGGGATCGCAAAACAACAAGACACTGACACGGACAGACTGCCGCTGCATCGCCCAGTCGCGCTTGCCCCGAGCGGGGCTCGTTCTACCCGTTCTTGCTGCATGAGGCACTTCCCATCTGGACGCGGCCCCACAAATAAGCGGAGCTGGGAGAGCTGTTGCCCATTTCCATCGGACCAATCAGAAAAATCGGCACACAGGCTCCACTGGTATTGCTGATCAAAGCAGCGCAATTTATGATTGGCTGATCAGACTTCAATGTCAACATCAGATCAAATCAGCCCAACAAACAGTACAGCAAACCCGGATCTGGCGACGACACGTGTACCTGCCTTTGCGACGCGTCGATGCAATGGAAGGCACGAAAATGTAAACAATAGACCCACCGTCGAAGCGAAACCATCACGAAGCCAAAACGGGTCTCAAACGACCCGCAACGTACTGTGTAGTGGACGCCGGCACCTTGCTGTGTTGACGCAACTTCGTGTCCATTACCGTGTCGACGTATCGATCTATCGTACAATACCGAAATAGCAATGCTCGCGTGGACCACGACGAAAGAGACCCGAGAAGCAACGATATATAGAAGTTCCAGTGCCCCCGACATCTCGTTCTCATCTTGACGTCTCTTTGTCCTCTTTTGCCATTTCAACTCTTCCTCTCGTGCGCCTTTGGTCTTCTAGCGTACCCGTTACCACCGAGTCCCTGCCGTGACCATGTATGCGTATGCCTTGCCTTTTCACCTGTCGTCGCGTTCTCGTGCCCCTTTGCCATCCAGCTAGAAATGAAGCGAAACGAGAAACCCAGTGAGATGCAAAACGGCCCGCCCCATGCAAGAAAGCAGAAAGCACAAATGTGTGACAAAGCAGTAAACAATCCTTCCGTCCTATTCTCATGGCGTCGTAAAGGTCCTTTCCAGTCCTTGCTATTATGTGAAATAAGTAAGTGAAGCCATGCCTCCTTTGCATTCATGTCGCCGAACCGAATGACAAAACGAAGCAATGAGGCAATGAGGCACTACCACGTGAGCCGCCGTGTAGCTTTTGTTCAATCGCTCGTCGTGCATCGTGTCTCAGGCAACCATGTAGTCTTCAAGTTCGTCCTCGTCATCCTCTAGGCTTCCTATCGCTTGTTTGATCTTCTGACTTGCCTGTGGGGGAGTGTGTTAGTTCGCTTCGTTCGCGGCGACTTGAGACGGGGGAGGAGGAAGACAGCTGACTCACCTTCGGATCAAGGCTCAGTGCAATCGTAAAGTGGCGGACCGCCGAGCTCTTGTCGTTGAGCGTCTTGTAGAGTTTGCCGAGCAGGAAATGAACGGGGGCCTCGTCGGGGGCCAGGTCCTTGAGGATCATGAGCTCCTGCTGTGCTGCCTGCAGTTGGCCGATGGCAAGAAGGGCGCGGGCTTTGCGGAAGCGGGTCTGGGCAGCCTTCGGCGCCAGGTCGGTCGCCTTGCTGAAGAACTGCAGGGCCGGCAGGATCTGCTTCTGCCGCTCGAGTACTTTACCAATGCAGCAGATGAGGACGGCGTTGGTGGGGTGGATGGCCGACGCCGTGTGGTAGTGCGGGTATGCCTTGTCAAAGTTGCCCAGCTTCTCGTACACGCGCCCGATGCCGTAGTACGCATTGTAGTGCCGCCGGTCGGCCGCGATCGCGTGGCGATACGCCGTCAGCGCCTTGTCGTACTCCTCGTTCAGCACATGCTCGTGGCCTTGCAGCGTGTAGGCGTAGGCAAACTTGGGGTTGAGCTGTGTGGCTCGTCGGAAACAGCGGAGCGCCTGCTCGTGATCTTGCGCAAGAGACCATGCATTGCCCAGAGCACACCAGGCCTGTGGCGATTGCCAGGCCGCATCGACGAGCTCGTGGGCCAAAAACGACAGGTCCGTCTCGCGCTTGAGGAACCACAGGATCGTCGAGTACACCTCCATGTCTTCCAGGCGTGTCGGCGACAGGACGCGCACTCGTCGGAAACACACTTCCGCCTCGGCGTAGGCCGCAAGCTCGTATTGGGCACGACCCAGTAGGGCTTGGACCCACGGTGTATCGATGTGGGAGCGGGGAAGCGAGTTGACAATCTGAAGCACCTCTGAGCACTGGAACTGCGCCAGAGAAAGGTATCCGCCTCCCAGCTTCTTCATCAACTCCAAGACCCAGCGCAGAGCGTCCTCTATTTTGGCCATGTCGACATCGCTGGCCTGCTTTTGGGCACCCTGCTGGTGGAGCAGCGACGATTGTTGCTGTTGTTGCTGTTGTTGCTGTAGCTGCTGCTGCTGCTGCTGCTGCTGTTGTTGTTGCTGCTGCTGTGAGAGTGTCGGGGGCACAGATGCCGTGGCAATGACGGGGTCCCGGACCCGAGGGCCTTCCATTGGATCCATGTCCATAGTGCCGTCGTCGACGGGCTTTCTGTTGCCACTGACCACGCGGCCGACGGTGGAGCCGCTGGAGCCTGGTCGGACAATCCTCGAGATAGGAGGACGGGCCTTTTTAAGCTCTCGCGTATTTGAAGCACCAATCGCAGTTGTCGCTCCCGCATTGGTCCTACCAGCGGACGCCTTGTTGAACATGTTCAGGCGCGCGCTGCGGCGCTGCGGCACTCCCGAATCGTCTTGCTGGGCTGCTGCCTGCCGCGGTGCCACCGGGTGACCCGATGCTGTTCGCTTTCGTTCTGTGGTCGACGAAGAAAGAGAGGATGCTGTTGCTGCTGTTGCTCCGCCTACGCCTCCTCCGCCTGTCGGTGCGATGCCCGTCGCACCCGCTGCGCCTCCGTTCGTTGCGCTCGCCGTCGACCGCAGCAGCGACGAAGCCTGGTCTGCGGCGGATATATCGCCGTTGCCACTGCTGTCCGTCGTCCCCGTCCTGCCCCGCCGTGTGGAGGCACCTAACCGATACATAATCTTGGATGGCGCGCCAGGCTGCTGCTGCTGTTGCTGCAGCCCGTTATCGGGCAAACTGGGGTCCGCCACCACGGTTGGAAGGGGTGCGCCGGCTCTGCGCCGCACAGGCGCATGCGGCATGTCCTGCTGCATGCCGGGTGGCGTGGCCATTGTGTCTGGTGACGGCTGGCCACTGAGGCCGCCCGACGCCGCAACCCGTGACCGGGCGGCAAAGATCCTGGCCATAAAGTCGTTTTCCTCGGACTCGGCCGAGGTGCTCCCCTGGGCGCCGGCCCCAGAGCGCGTCGGCTGAAGCGGCTGATTCGGTGCCTGCTGGTGGTCAAAGGGGTCGCTCATTTCGTGTGCTGCCGGCTGCCGCGTCGACAATGTCGATGCGTTCGTGCCGGCACGCTTCAGAGGGAGCTGCGGCTGCTGTTCTGTCAAGTACCCAGGCGCGACATTCTGGCTGTCGCCTAGGGCGTCCGGCTCAAAGGAGCGAACGAGGGCGTCGTTGATACGAAACGTGTTGGATACCCGCACGTTCAGACCAATATCACAGAGGGCTGTAAAGGCGTCCCACATAAGCGGGTTTGTCCGCAGAGCATCTTCAAAGTAGGCTGCCGCCTTTTTCCGGTCATCCATGCCGCGGTAGAGCTTGCCAAGGAGGCAGTTGACGGTGGCTGCATCCGGGCCATTCGCTCGGGTCGTCGCCGTGTGCTTGCCTATCGTGGCCTTGTGCAGCCAAAGGTTCTTGGATTTTTCGAGGGCCACGGCGCCATCACGGAACCGCTCGAGGGCCAGACAGCTCTGGGCAAACACAAAGGCGCAGCCCAGGTGCAGACCCCGGTAGCCAAGTGGCTTGCTGAACTCGTATGCGGACCGGTAGTCGCCGAGTCGGAAGTGGCTGAGGGCGAGGAGATGCGCGGATTCGTTAGATCGTGCGTCGTGGGCAGAGAGGCGCTCGGCAAAGAAGAGGGCGTTGTCCCACGAGCCGTTGTCGAGATGGTAGTGGACGGCCTGTCGCAGGAGGCCCGTCACAGCCGCACTGTTTGGTGCCATCGTGGGACCGGTGCGGCGCTGTTGTGAGGAGCGTGAAGGGCAAAGATCGGGAAGTGTCGCAGATTAGGGTCTTTGCGGTCGTTGCTCCATGGAAGCCGCGTCGATCTGTTCTGGTAGAAAACGGTGGACGTGTTTTCGGCGCGGGTGAAAGCCTGTCTCGTTCCCTCGTAGTACAAACGACAGCAAATGGCTCTCTGGTTGCTCCTCCGCGGAAGAAAACGAAACGCACACAGCCCTCCCTCACTTCGCCACCACAATATGTAGCATGTATAGACAAGACGAAGCCTTGCCTCGGAGGAGGGCGAGAGGACCAAGCGTAAACTCAAGCGGGCAAAAAGAAGAAACGGTTGGTTGAGGAGGGAGGGGACAAGCCTGTAACGGACGGCGAGCGGGAAGATGCACGTCGTCAACGAAAACCGCCCTCAAAAACGAGGCGTTTGCGACGAGACTGTCGAGGGCCTCGTGAGAAGCGGTGAACGGCGTGCCAAAAGCCGGCCAGGATGCGGACTGTGGGCAGAGAAACAAAGGAAGGGCCACTCGTCACGGGCGATGAAGATCCAGACTCGCCGTGATGGCCAGTGACTTTGGTGGTGTTGGTGGCGGCGCCTGCGTTGTGAGCTGGTCTTCTGTCTCGCGATGTTGTGAGCGTCTGCGTACGGCGTGCTGTGATTGGCTGCAGCGTGCTACCTCCTGCCGCCGAACGCCTACCAGAGCAACCCCAGCAACCCAACCCCACTCTAAACGCCTTCCTGGCTGAAGGTACATTGTCACGTAAATTAAGTGTAGAGGTACATTCGAATTCAACCTCGCGCCTGCCTTCTCTGGCCACCTATCTTACTGCATCGTGCTAGCTGTTCTGTGCGTTTCCTCACGTTTCCTTGGCTTCAACCTCAACCTCTGCCACCGCCACCACTGCTCCGTTCACTGCCTCCGCAACCTGATTCTTCCCGACCGTCTGCAGAACCGGCCGAGCGTCTTTGTCTGTACTTCCGACCGCTCTTTTTCTGAAGCTCATTGGCCCCGGCATTCTCGCGGCTGCTGCGGACATTTCTAATCTCCTATACGTCTACCCTCGCTTCGTTCCCGCTCTTGCTGAGTGGAATTCCACCTGCCGACACACCTTCGCCATGGCGCAAAAGGCAAAGAAGGACCGGGCCAAGTCCAATGCGGCCACGCTGACGAACCTGCACCTGGGCTCGCTTGTTGTCAACGTCGCGTTTTTGCTGTTCTACCTCGTCTTCCGGTCCCGGTCGCTCGTCGCCTACGTCGTCGTGTCCCTGCCGAGCTTCCTGTGCCAGTTCATGCTGGAGCGCACGGGCCGGCCGCGCTACGATGCGCAGACGGGTGCGCTGCGCTCGTCGGGCGAGGACCTCGCGGCGGCGGGCCTGACGGAGTACATGTTCGACGTGGTCTGGGTCACGTGGGGCGTGTCCGTGCTGGTGATCCTGTTTGGCAACAAGCTGTGGTTCCTGTGGGCGATTGTGCCTGCGTACGGCGCCTACAAGGGCTACGGCCTGCTGGGCTCGGCCCGCCAGATGGCGGCTATGCAGGGTATGGGCGGCGGCGATGCTGGCGCTGGTGCGGCGCCCGCGCCCAACCGGAGACAACGGCGTGCAGCCTAATCGAGAGCATTCTTGGATGGGCAGGCAAGGTCACAAACGGAAAAGAGACTACGAAGCGACGGAGAAAAGGAGAAAGCGGAAGACGACAAAAAAACAAAAACAAAAGTACATACATGCTGCATCATTTATGCGCTAGTGAATGGTATCTATTTCCTCTGTCCTCGATGCTTCTCTCATGGCGCCGCCTCAATTTTGTGACACGGTAGCTCTTCCGTCCATTTCTGCAGCAGGGCTGGGCTGGCGTTGCGGACAAGGACGTGGATGTGCTCCAGAGCGCGCACGCTCTGGAGCTGCACCCAGTTCTTAAACCACAGCACCCGCTCTTCTCCGTTGCCGCTGGCGCCGTCCTCTTCCGTCAGACTGTCGGCAAAGTACCGCTTCACAAACGCGGCCACGTCGGCGCGGCTCTCGTCCGTCATGTCGCCCGTGGTGGGGTCCGTGGGGATCAGCGTGCGTGTCCATACGACGATATGGGTGATGTCGGACGTGAGGCCGTACGGCCAGTCGTTGACGAGGACGCGGTAGTCGCTGGGGTCGGCAAAGGGTGTCTTGGACACCGGCACATAGGGCGGGCTGTCGCCCCAGGCCTTGGGCAGGCGGTGGACGATCAAGTAGCGGGTGATGGAGCCGTACTCGGCCTTTGTCTCGGACGTCCACTTCATGTACCGCCGCAGGTCGGACGGCTTCCTCTTGAGGACCGAGAGGTTGTTCGTTTCTAGTGGAGTTGAAATGTTAATTTAGAGTCGAGACACAACAACAAAAGCAAGCATCTGGGTCAAGAGCCACCCACCAATGACATTCTTCAAATCCTCCCAGTCGTGCTTGACATATTGCTCGTCGGTGAGAGACAGAACATAGCGGTCGGTGTCCGTCAATGGGAACGGGTGGTCCTCGCCGATGTTGCCCATTGTGACCGTGTGCCGGTGAGTATGGGGGGTGTTAGTGACCGTTGCGCTGTTGAACTGGCCAGCTCAACTCCAACGCGCTTCGTGTCTAGTTTGTCGCGGCCCGCGTGTGCCCCTCTGCTGACAGCCCAGGAACCAAGCATCGCACATTATGCGACGAATGAGAGGGGTAGCTCCGATTAGCGCATACTTTAATTTGGGTAACATATCATCGACAGCCCGTATTCTGCACTCCATGAAAGTGAAGCTGGTCCTGTCTATCAAACAGAGAGAGAAAACGAGTATACAACAGTCAAGTATAATAACAGTCAATAAAGGAAGGGTCGTCATACAACGTTTATCGAGCTAGAATGTCGCTTGAGCGTCATCACACTCATAAAACACCATCACGTATTCGATTGTGCACTGCTTCGAGGAAGCGGGCAAGGTCGTCCATCTCCTCTGGCTCTTTCAGCCAATGTCCCTCCTGCTCGGCCCCTTCGTAGTCGTGCCACTCTACCGAAGTGAATCCCACATTCACCAGCAGTTTATGTGCCTGTCGCCCCAGCTCCATGTCTACGTATGCGTCGTCTCGCCCATGGCCAAGGAACACCGGCGCAGTGAGAATGGTGCTTGTGTTTTGGTCCAACGCAAGGGCCGCTGGGCGTTCTTTTATGTGTTTCCGCAGCGGCGCCATGGCAATTTGTACAAATACAAGTGGCTCAACGGGCTTGCCGTCGTCTGTCTGAGAAATCTTTACCTCGGCGGTAGCTTCGTCACCAAGGTACTTTGTGATCTCGCTTGCAAATGGCAGCCATGTGCTCACTACCGCAAATCCGCCCAGCGGCCGTTCGGGCTGCTTTGTGCTCAGCAACGTCCACAAGGCAACGGCACCGCCGAGACTGATGCCGCCGAGCACAACCCGTGAATGGGCATCTGAACCACCGGCCTCGATCGTCTGGAGCCGCCGAATCTCATCCTCGACAATCGTCTCGACATGCTGTGCGGACGCGCGTAGACCACTCTGCTGGAGATCCTGCCGCGCCGTCGGGTCTGCCAACGAGTGTGCCTCGAACCATGCGGGCATCCACTCCTCAAATGTGGCATTCCATGTGCTGGGTGATGACGGGAAGACCCAGCGCCACGAAGGCAGGCGGTCGGCGAGGCTGGGTTTTTGGCCGTCCGACAGAGTCGTCGCAAACAGTTCCTCGGCAAACTCCTCACCGGTGCTGCCACGGCCGTGGAGGAGGATGGCCGTATGGTCGTGGACGTGTCCATCGCGGGATTCGACAACGAACGTTGGGCCAAAGGAGGACATTGCCGGTGTGTTGTTTGGTTGATGCTGTGGCTGCTATGGAGTTGTAGAGTGGAAGTAAAAGGCTGCAGTTCCTAGAACTTGACAGGTCGTAATGAGGCAAAGCAGTCCACTCGGACAGAACCGACATGCAGGAACATCCGAGGTGCGCACTGCGACAGAAATGGGAAGCTGCGACTCTCAAACCACCTTTTTTAACTCAAACTCGCCAGATCCTCCGTTATGTCACGTGTCACTGCTTCAGAGGCTTTCTCAACAAGACAACGTAAACCGGCCCTCGATATCCACGATACCCACGATAAACACGGTGTGAAACGCGACAGTAATGCGCCTCAGAAGGAAGCACCTCGCCGACATCTAGCGACAACTGTCTGCAACGGGACTTTCTCGCCGAAGGTCGGCCGTCCATTTGCCGTGACGTTGGCGGAATTGATTATGCGCAAGCTTCAGGTCGTAGCAGCGAGTACAGCGGTTGAATCGGTTGTTTTACAGGCCGTTGTCGTTCTGTTCCGCCTGCTAGAGCAGTGCTGCAACCGCCTAGAGCCGGGCCATGTAGCGGTTTGGCTAGCGCTCTGGCAGGCATCTAAGGTTGTGACCAGACGAAACAAGGAAAGTGCCGAGGGGCTGCCCCGGCCGCACAGTCAGCGCCTTCCTAACCAAAACCTTGGAATTCATTCCGACCTTTGAATGCCTTTTGGGAGCTAAGATGAATTTTGTATTTATTTCTGCTGCAAAGAAAAATGGTAAAATGCTGCAGATCCGAGCAAAAAGGGAACGACGAAAAAAAGACAACGAAAGAGAGACATAAGCTTCCCCAGCTAAGGAAAAGGAGACCACGGCCGATTGGATTCCCACCGCCGTCGCCCCGAAGCTAACTCGACCGCTCTTCGTCTCAGCAACACCATTCTCGCACCTGTCTTCCTCTCGGTTTCCGCCAGCCCCTCCCCTCCTCCATCCTGCCGCTGGCTCCTTCCTTTTCTGCCACTTCTTGTCGTCCTCGCTTCCTTCCCCATACATTTCACATTCCGCTGGCATCTCGCGATCTCGTCGTCTCCAGCCTTTTGCACGCCCTCCCTATCCCTGTCTACCAGGCGAAGACGGCTCCTCGAGCTCCATCTCGCCACCATGTCTGACAGCCCATTCTCACGCAAGTACATTGACGGCATCTACGTGCCTGTCGTGTTGCTGATTGTCGGCACCTTGATCGTCAAGCGCGAGTACACAATCTACGCTGCCGCTCTTGGTCTCGTCTTTGGCACGGTCAAGTTCTTGAACCTCCGTACGTGGCCACCTTCCCTAGTAGCTTGCCATTGGCTCTTTATTGGCCTTGCTTGGTCTCCATTGACTGCTCGCTAACCTGCGTCCATTGGCCCCAGAGCCAAAGAAGGTCCTCACCGACCCCAACACGCTCGTCGAGTTTGAGCTCAAGGAGAAGACCGTCATCTCCCACAATGTAGCCATGTACGTTCACATATCATGTACCGCTGTGCTGGTGTCGCACCAAACAACAGTTGCCACTGCCTGCTGACACGTGCTCTCTCTCCCAGCTACCGTTTCAACCTGCCGACTCCCCGCTCCATCCTCGGCCTGCCGATCGGCCAGCACATCTCCATTGCCGCCGACCTGCCCGACGCCAACGGCCAGATCGTCCCCGTCCTGCGCTCGTACACGCCCATCAGCGGCGACCACCAGCCCGGCTACTTTGATCTGCTCATCAAGTCCTACCCCCAGGGCAACATCAGCAAGCACATGGCGTCGCTCGCCGTCGGCCAGACCATCAAGGTCAAGGGTCCCAAGGGCGCTTTCGTCTACACCCCCAACATGGTGCGCCGCTTCGGCATGATCGCCGGTGGCACGGGCATCACCCCCATGCTGCAGATCATCCGCGCCATTGTCCGCGGCCGCGCCGCCGGCGACACGACCCAGGTCGACCTCATCTTTGCCAACGTCACGCGCCAGGACATTCTGCTCAAGGAGGACCTCGATGCCGTCACCGCCGAGGACCCTAACATCCGCGTCTACTACGTCCTGGACAAGCCCGAGGAGGGCTGGACCGGCGGGGTCGGCTTTGTCACCGGCGACATGATCCAGAAGTGGCTGCCCAAGCCGGCCGCCGACGTCAAGCTGCTGCTCTGCGGTCCCCCGCCCATGGTCTCCGGCCTGAAGAAGGCCGCCGAGGCCCTTGGCTTTGAGAAGGCGCGCCCCGTCAGCAAGCTGGCCGACCAGGTCTTTGCTTTCTAAGCGGGCCTCGTTGTCGGACCTTGCCCTCCGACCTTGCCCTTCTCTTCACATCAGGGCCAGCTTTTGGCTCCTCAGCTTCTCCTTATCTCCTCCTCGCAGTTGCTCTCGTCGCGCACTTGTCAATGGGTGTGACGACGTTTGCGACCTGCACCGGGGGTCGTGTCCTAACAGGCGGCGCGACATGACCTCTGTATTACGACCGCGACACACAAAAATAGACACGAACGGGCGCACGCATAGACCGACGGGAAACTTATAATTGCCTCGTAATCACTGGAACCCACTTTTCGATACTTCCTAAAACGTAACCTACACGACAATGCACACTTTTTAACAGTCATATAATTCAAATGTTTGCTTTTTCAGTTGCACAAATCAATGCTACCCAGAGGATATATGCAATGTGACGCCATTGTTCCAAACTTGTAAAGGAACGAAACGAAAAAAAGAAGAAAAACATAGTGAACGGCATAAGCAACGCTACTGTGTTTTCTTCGTCTCGGCCTCTTTTGCGTGTGCCGTCCGGCCGTAGCCTGTCCGGAGGTAAACAGACAACAGCTTCCAGAGCACCCAAGAGAAGCCGAGGAGGATTGCTGCCGACGTGCCGACGTTGACCCATTGTGCCTTGCTCGAGTCCAAGACGGGAACACGGATCGGGATGGTCAGGGCGTCCGTAGAGGACGCTGAAGACGCTGCACCCAGACTCGGGTCCGGTTTCAGGTGCCAAAACTCCGTCGTCTCGTCAAAGAGTCCGTCGTACCCGACATGGACACGGTCGAACGGGTTGGTCGTGAATTGGACGTCCTTGTCCGCCTCGCACGCCCAGAACACCAGGGGGTACGGGACCTCGACCGACCGGTAGCCGCCGTCGGCGGGGAGGAGGTAGCGCAGGTGCAGCGGGATCTCGGCCGTCCATTCCGAGGACCGCTGCTGCTCCTCGGTCAGGCCGACCGGCGGCGCCAGCTCGATCAAGGCCGCCGAGCCCCAGACAGGGACGGCATAGTCGGGCGCCTCGAGGTCGACGGGCTGCGTCATGTGGTGCAAGGCCGTCAGGTTCTTTGATGCCAAAAAGAGGACATCGCCCAGCTGGTACCGGTCCGCAAATATGTAGCGCGGGAGCGTCAGGTACGTGTGAAGCTTGCAAGAGCCAAACTTGCCGTCGTCGGGATTGTGGTGGTGGGGCGGCGGGCCGGGGGCCACGCGGAGTTGCAAGGTCGGGTGCAGACCCGTGGGCTGCGTAAACGTGGCAGAATACGACGCACCGCCGGCTGCCGTGCGGTGCCGCGAGGGAAACGCAAACATGACCGACTTCGGGCGGTCGTCCTGGCCGAGGACAGCCACTTGCCCGGCCATGCCAAGCTCGTGAGGGCCGAGAGTAGATGGCATGTCAGCGCCCATGATGCCGACTTCTGTCCGGGTGGTGCCCGGCTGTGCCGCTACATACAATGGCCACATGGCAAGCGGCCACTGTGTCGTGATTTTGAGCGTGCGCGAAGATGTGTCGTACGATAGGTCTAGCGCGCTGGCACCGTCAAGCTGCTCCGCTTGTAGACTGCAGAGGCCTCCATCGTCAGCGGTCGACGGGCACCAGTCGGCCTTGACATACGCGGCGAACGCGGTACAGTCGGCCACATCCGAGTAGAACTGGTACGTCTGCCGGTCGTCACCCAAGTAGTTGAAGGATTGCTAAACAAAAGTCAGTCCACACGCGCACTCATATGGGATAAAAAGAGACATTGGGGAGACGGACACCAATCGACTGGCAATCTATGTGCTGTCCAAAAGCATTTTTTAATAATGAGCAGACGGCGTCTCTTGATGCCTCAGTTAGTTCCAGTCAGCTTTACTGTCACTCCAAGGGGGTTCAACCTACTGCTTCTCCTCTGACGCACCGGGGGCCGGCGTGTAAACCACATGCAGACCCGGAGACAGGGTCGACAGCAAGGGGCTCACAAGCTCGACGCCGGCAGTTCGTGCAGCCCAACGCACGTGCAACGCATGCACGTTGTCTGCAAGCAGACGGGCCAGCGCGGCCGGCAGTTCGTCGAGGCCGAGTGTCACGCGGTCCTCGCGCGCCGCCTCGATTGTCGGCCCCGTCAGCGTTGCGTCCACTACACGCAGTAGCGCAGGGTCCACGGGGCTCTCTGGCCGATGGAAGAACGTTGTGCGCTGACGCATGATGGCGGTGTGTCTCGGTAAAGGAAGCGGCGAAGAACTATCGTCTGGTGTCCCGCGTCGTCCTCGGTAATATTGCCCGCCCGTCTCTCAACGACCAATCTCCCAGCAAACCACCAAACAAGCAGACCAGCAAACCAGGTGAGCACCGCCTGCTCACTCTTCCCAAATAAGCTTTCGAGTAGCTCTTAGTGTGTGACCGGCCCGGGTATTGCCAGGGGAGATCTAGATTACCACCGCTCGGTATTGAAACGGGTGGTGTGGCTTTCGGGACGTTCGTTGCGGTGTGTGGGTAGCCATGCAGAGCGTCCAGTGGTTGGCAGAGACGTTGCATGCGGCTGGGCTGTTGAGGCTGGTGGCTTGTTGGCTTGTTGGCGTGTTTGGTGTGTTTGGTGTGTTTTGGTATGGAAGTTTCAGCTCTTCGTCTGTCGTACTTTGTAGTTTGGCACGCGTTTCTCACCCCTTTCTGCCGAGTCTAGCGACCGACAGCTCCTTCCCGTTGGGCATTTTGGCGGCCCTACGTCGCTCTTTCCCCATATGACGTCGCCCATAGGCTGCAGCAACAGCGCCTGTGACCACCTTCCTCCCGAAAGCCCCCTGGAACGGACAGACAGGATCACTTCCTTATTTGGGTGACCGACCCAGGACGATCCGCCGCTAAACCCAATCTGCTACCGACTCGACAACTCTCTGCCCTCTCAATTGGGCTGGCCGAGTCGGTATCCCCGTTTCCAAGGCTGCGCGCGCCCTCTGATTGGGTTGTGCCAGCAGCGAGGAAAATATGGTAAAGAAAGTGGGCAATAGCCCCGAGCCGCAGCCAAACTGTGTATTGCGAGGCTCTGTGGCCAAGCAGAAAAGGGCAGGAACGACACTGCAATCCGCCCCGCCACAACGACGATTACAGAAGGCCCGATGGTCGAAATCGCCAATCTTGCACATGGTCGTGACTTCTGTTTCCGTTTTCATGCTCACCGACGGCGCATTTGCCGTTTATCGTTCTTTCCTCCTCTTTTAGACCGTGTTTTCTTTCTCTCTCTTTCCTTTCTCGGCGCTGATCCGTATTCTCGTTGGCCAAAACATCTCCTGAGATATTCTTTTCAAGTCATATCCTCACGTCTCGCATCTCATCAAATACCATTGCTCGCAGCCATTGCGACGTACACCGGCACCGTTCTCATCACCACGCTATTAACGAATAAGATGTACGCCATGTACACGCGGAGCGACTGACACACGGTCACGCTTTCGTGACAGCCGGTTTCTCGACCCGCCCATTGGAGTCTTTTACGAGGGCCTTCACACCTCTTCTTGGCGTTGACCGGAAAACAGCCGACGCTTGGTGTCCGTTCCCGGCATACGTCCCTATTGACATTGACCTTTCTTCCCTCGCGTCTCTTGCATCTTGTTGTCGTATTTCTTCACCCCTATTTCTTTCCTCCTTTCGGCTCTCCCGTCAGTCGTCACGTCGTCCTTATATATCGGTCAAGATGGGCGACCTTCAACCCCCATACCTGACCATCCGGACGCTCAGCAGCGGCGGCGACCGGAACAGCCTCACAAGCACCGACTCGGCATATGCGTCTGCAAACAGCGATTTCACTGTGCCGTCGACCACGCACGATATCGGCCGCGTCAACTACCACGTCAAGCACCTCGACTCCTTTGCCCGCACACTCGAGGACTCAGCCAGCCGCGCATTCCCCAACCGCGGGCGCTCTCATCAACGGTACACCAAGGTCGTCTCCTTGCTGCTGCACTGGAAGTCGGACGACTTGTTTGTCCTCCCCGAGCTGGAGGATCTAGAGAAGTGCATGCGCGAGGAATACGGCTTTGAGACGGACACGTTTCCTATCCCGTCCGAGAACGCTCATCTTGAGCTTATGATGCGCATTGGCGCCCTCATCAAGGACCACGAAGCAACCGACACACTATTTATTGTCTACTACGGCGGACACGCGCGCATCGACGAGTCGAGGCAAAGCACTTGGTGCGCAACACGGAATCCAAACTCACCCTGGCTGCAGTGGTCAGCCATCCAGACCCTCCTCGAGCGCTCCGTCTCGGACACGCTGATCTTGCTCGACTGTTGTGCCGGAGCCGCCAGTGCCACGTTCCCCAACGGGAAGAGCATCACAGAGACCATTTCCGCCTCCAGTTGGGACGCCATCGCCCCGGATCCGGGCCGGTACTCTTTCACGAACGCGCTCATCGAGGTGCTCCAGGAGTGGCGTGTGCGTACGTTCTCGGCTGCTATGCTGCATGCCGAAGTGCTTGCTCGGTTAAAGCATCCTCGCCCCATCACCATCAACGGCAAGCTCTTCGAAGCTCGCTCCACCCCAGTGCATTTCATGATGACGGCCAACCACAGAGCCCCGAGCATCGAGATCAGTCGCATCCTCCCTCGTAACCGCCAGCTGCCTTCGCCGCCAGCAGAACAAGACTATGGTCCCTATCTCCCAGGCCCTTCCGGCGGGCGTGGACCGCTCAGCGAGCCGGTCAGCGACCCGAACGAGGATGAGCCGCATGTCATGATTTCGTTGGCACTGGAGGACGACCAAAATCTCGATCTGAATGCTTGGGAGCAATGGCTTTCCAGCTTCCCTGCCCTTGCCAAATATGTCAAGGTACAGGGTGTTTTCAAAAGCCACTCTACCCTCCTCCTCCTCTCCGTGCCAGTGATGGTGTGGGACCTACTTCCTGAGAACCGTGCTTGTTCTTTTGTGGCCTTCATTCGGTCCAACAACCTCATTGCCGAGAAGCGATCCACCACCCCCGAGAGCGTCTCGACCGCAATACCAGTGCCAGTGCCGACAGACAGTGCTGCGGCAAAGGCACCGGAAAGCGGCAGCATCAGCAATGTCGATGTCTCCAAGGTCGATGCCGCCGAGACTGTGACCGCCGACGTTGACGCTGAGGACGAGAGCGACGTTGAGAGCATCGACGGATACACCAACTCCGTCATCTCGGGTACCACATTCACGCCAACAGCGCCTAGTGTCCGTATGAGCATTGCGACCACCGCCGTCAGTATCGGCGACTCAATCTCCCAGCGTCAATACCCTCCGCTGCGGCCTCCGCCAGTGACGTCTGCATCGTCCTCCTTTATCTCACGACCTGCACCAGGAGGCATTCAACGCACGCTGTCGCAGGGTTTCGGACACGGTGGGCCTGCCACTCCTTTCGATCAAACGTCATCGATTAGGAGTGTTAGCCCCAGCCAAGTCCGTCCGAGTGGTATGTCGTCGTCAAGAACCGCCATCGTGAACCAACAACGAATTGCGAGACGAACAACGTTTGACCGTGCGGGCGCGGCAGATGGTCCGAAGCTCGCACAACATATCGTCGACCGCCTCGAGGAGTATTTCCAGCAGCATCCCAATCCGAGTGTGGGTATTGCCGAGTTCTTCGCCTCCAACCTCGGGGTTGAAAAGCGGGACATTGATGTAAGTACTTTATGGCACCTGTGCTTTGTTCATGTTAACGATCGGCTTGCTAAGCATTGAAAACAGCTTTGGTTCCATCGACGGCGACAACAGGAGTCGATGACGCAGAACCTGCAAAATCTGAAGATGGTTGACCACCCATCGTTTGACTATGGCGATGGAAGCGGCGCCAACATGATCCTCCCGGGACAGTTGAACAAGCTGCTTGACATCTTCCCTCCGAACAATCTTCTCTTTGTTGATCTTCGGTCCCCGACAGACTTTGACAAGTCTCACATCTATGGAGCCGTCAACTTGCGAACTCCCGTTTCCTTTATTGAGCAGGGGTTCGACCTCCTCGACAAAGTCTTCACAGACGACCAAAGTCGCAGGAACTTTGTGCGGGCACCGTCGTCCCGGTGCATCATCTTCTACGACCGAGTTCTGGAGTTTCCTTGGGAATGTCCCATGGCGGACTCTCTGATCGGTCAACTCCGCACCCACAAGGGCTGGACGGGCGACTACTATGTCCTCAAGGGCCATTACCGTGAGTTCTCGGCGTCCTTTGATAAGTACATCACGGGCGACAAGATGTCACAAGCGGCCAAGGACTACGTCGACAGCCTGCGGCAGCGGACGCCCCTCTCGGAATCCGACAAGGAGCGTACGGAGCATAGCTACGCCGAGTGGAAGGCACTGGTTGAGCATGAAAGCCGAAACTCGCTGCCGGACTCGACTGCGCACCTTGACGAGCGGCGGCAAGCCGTTGACCAACACCAGGCTGAGCTCGAAGCGGAGCTTGAACGCCGCAACCCAGTGCTCTACCGGAAAGCGTTGGGCCTGCGGCAGATGCCTCTGAAAAAGAGCTACTCGACGACGAACATGCACGGCATGACGAAGGGTGGCTTCAGTGACAAGTACCTCGAACACAACCTGCGGACGGAGCTCGTCGGCCCTCTGACACGCGGCCTCGAGAAGATGCACAGCCACGATCAAAGCTACCTCGGCCACAGCGACTCGCCGCATCAAGTCACACCAGGCTACGACAAGCTGGGCGAGCTTACAGAAACGTCGTCTCGCCCGTCAGCGTCTGATGAGTTTGATGAGATGGATCCCCGAGACGATCTGCTACGGGACGACCCAGGTTTCCAAAAGGCAGGCCGCCATGCTGGCCTGGGTGGCTCCAGTAACGACGCGGGCGCGGGCAGAGGCGGCTCGAATGCGGCCGACCTTCCACGCAGCCGTGAGAAGTCGTTCTGGAAGCGCCTGCGTGTCAACAAATAAACAACGGCGCCACCAAAGGCAGATCATTCGGCTGTTCATAAACGGCCCGGCCTTTTCCACCGCCATTCAACTTCATGTGCCTCCTCGGTGTGCTACCCGTGGCGGTAGGGAGAGAGCATCCTGCAGGACCACGCAATCTGTTGCGCACAACGTACGCTGGCGGTAGTTGCCGCAAAGACAGAGGGCAAAGACAGAGCCTTGGTCACTCTAGCCCCCATGTTTTTCTTTGAGTCTTCTTTTCCTTCCTCTTCTGCGTTTTTGACATTGCCATATTTCGATCATTTTGTGAAACAGGCGTACGGACATCATTTCGGCACGCCCCCCAAGGAAGGTGTGGGGTTTTATTCTGGCGGAAATAGCCCCATTCTCGGTCGAGCTCCGACTGTGTGTTCTTTTGATCTTTTGTTATCTTGTTCTCTTTTTATCTGGTTCTCTTGTTCCTTTATTTCGCTTGCGATTGCGGGTTGGAAACCCTGCAATTTAGGATATACTTAGCATGGCGGTGTAAAAAGCCTTCTTTTTTTTTGAATAACATGAGCATATTATGGAGTACGCTGTACTCACATCCCACATCCCACGTCGCACAGACACGCATGCACGCATGCACGCATATATGGTTCCTGTCTTATGATTGTTCATGATTGTAAAGCGGTTATTACGATCTGTGGTCGCACGCCGGTGGCTGATGACTTGGCCATGACGGCTCGTCTGCCTGGTAGAATATCCGGTTTTGCGAAAGCGCAAACCCCGAGTTCAGCCAGCAGCCAGCAGCCAGCAGCAGGGCGTCGGCGCGCGGTATTTGGGATGAGCGGTGAAGAGGTGAAGAGGTGAGAGCCAGGAGAGAGGAAGCACAAGGAGGATCGGGTGCGGTTGGAGGGGGACACGGCGCGGCTGGCTGTTGGACGAGAGCCGTCGCCGTGTGGTTGCCCAAAGTGTGGTTGCTCAAAGTGTGTTTGCTCAAACACTCGAATCTTGTTTCGTGTCTCGTCACATTTCCTCCAAGCCACTCATCCATCCACCTGATGAAGACAGACGGTGCATCGCCCACCCCCTCGGCACACCCTCATTTCCTTGTTGTGGCCGGCCAGACGGTCATGTCGATCGACGAGACCAGCATCCTTATGTGTCTTACTGTCTGTGTGTCTGCGTGTCTTCCTCCATTTGCCCATTTGCCCATTTGCCCATTTGCCCATTTGTTTGAGAGGCAGAGGGCAAGGACCCATGGTTCGTATATGGTCCATTGATATCGCCGAGTTCAAGGACCACAAGGACCACAAGGGGCAATGATGGTCACATATATTATTGTCCCCCGGCTTTGTTTGTCTCGCCTGCCTTTGTTCTTTTTTTTCCGGTCTCTGTCACAGGGTCTCATGTCATTTGACATTCAGGATTTTGTCTCGTTTCTCGGATCGAGCACGTCTTTCCGCAACGACACGAGCGTCAAGACAACTGACTGACGGGTCTCTGCTCCAGGGCTTACGACGTCTTCATGTTTGCTTCTGTTTTCTTCGACGGGCCCGGCGAAGCTGGCCGTATGGCCTGGGTATTGGGTTTTTTTTTTTTTTTTTTTTTACGACTCTCCGATAAACCGACGCCTTTTAAAAGTGACTCAAACACAAGACATGTCAATGTCATTCTTGCCTCCTTACCAGCCATCTCACCTCCGCCTTTTCATATATATATATATATACTTATATTTTCTTTCTACCCCTTCAGTTGTCTCTGCTTCCTGCCATCATCATCAGGTGGCAGCTGGCAGCCACCCCCTACCGTCCTTTTCTAGTATTGACAAAGACGTTGATAATCGTCCAACGTTTGTTTTTGGCGTACCTTTGTGCATGCAGGAGGCGTTCTTCGGATGCCGGAGTGGGATACACAGAAACACACGGTACGAGTACGTCGTACTCCGCACACATACATGTACGTTTTGTTTTGTACCAAGTGCTCTCATAAAATGCGAAAGAAGCAAGCATCAGGGGCTCGTACAGTACGTTTGTGGGATGATGCCTTGAGTCGAGCTTTGTCTGCCCTCCATAGATCAAATGGATGGATAGATGAATGGATTTATCGACGGATGCATTAAATTTGACAAAATGTCCCGAAGGATGCAGTACAATACTTCCTTCTCTTGCAGAGATTTCAAACTGCTTCCTTTACGCAGGCTCGAGCTGCTGGCAAATTGGACACAATGGTAAAGAACCTGCACGAGTACAAGGACACTCTGCTGCTGCATCTGCTGCAGTTATTGTGTTCTTGTCATTTTGTGTCTGCCCTTTTGACAACAAACGATGGACTACGTATGCTGTTTTGTTGTCGCTCATTTAGGGGAACCCCGTCTACGCGCCGCGACAGCCTCCTCTATCCCTACCCGCCAAGTTTGTTATTCTTCCCCCTGTTCGTTCCTCGCCGCTCCTTTCTCCCTTGCATATGTGCTCTGATTAGCATTTTCTTTCTCATATGTCGACAGGCGTACAGACACACAAACTCAAGAACAAAAAAAACACACGACAGAGGTTGTTGCAGGTCGGCGTGCTTCAGGATTGTTTGAACGGATTGGTGGCCACGAGGTGACCATTTCATTTCTGGGTATTCTTATTCCACTACCTTTCTCGCCTCTGTTTCAAGTATTTTTTCCGCTTTCCCCCCTTTATTCTTTTCTTTTTTCCCCTTTGTTCATTACACACATGTACCCGAAAGGAAAATGTCCGTTGCCGTCTGCAAGATTGGCGATGCCAGGTTGTCAACGAGTTCCAAAACGAAAAACGAAAAACGAAAAACGAAAAGGGAAACTAGTAGACGACCGTCGTGGACAGTAATGTCTGAAAATGCCGCAGTTCTGAGAGGGCTCTGACCGTCTCCTTTTCTCTCCCCTTGCTTGAGACTTTTTTTTCTTCTTTTTAATCCCTGCAATTTGGTGCTCGTTCCTCGTTGTATCACATGTCTTTCTCCGTCCGCACCATATTTGCTCTCAGTACTTTATGTGCATCACCACCTCCGCCCTGTCCCCTCCCCAGTCGAATAAGGTGGGAAAAAAGAAGGACGGGGCGGAGTATTCCTCTAGATGGCTAAGCGGAAAAGATCCGATCGGACAGCGGACAGGACGTATATTCCGTTATGCATGAGAAATCGCAAGAGGGGATGCACAAAAGGAAGGATGGACAAGTTTATATCTGACAGGGCCGGCAACACCTACGGATGTTCTAGCTCTCGTCTTGCACTGTTGTGTTTCGGTCACATTGTTCTCATTTCCTCGATGTATGGTGAGGTGGCGAGGGTGAGAGGAAAAGGGCCGAGTTGGGACCCTTGCAAAGGTCGCTTTTGTTCTCTTTATAATTTTGTGCCACCCAGTATAGGCTCCTTAAAGAAAAAAGAATATACAAGGAATATAAAAACATCTTGAGACAACAATGGTGAGTGCTGCATGTCATTTTGTGACGGGTGTTTCCTTTTTTTCCCGCTCATTTTTGCACATTCCTGCCCCTTTTGGTTCACTCTTGATTCCACCATGCAACGTTGAATTAGGGCGGCTGCATGTTGCAGAATTTAGACCCAATCTGCAAAGAGATGGAGTGATATGCAGAAGGACATGAAAAAAGGTGGGTGGGTAGCACGCAGTTGAGTGGCAGATAGTGCAGAAGCCTGCAGTGACGTGCAATAATAATATGCAGTGACAATGCATGAACGCAATGTTTGAACGCACTCCACCGGGTAAGAAAAGACAACAAAAAAGACCTACGGAGTAGACATGACAATCAAGGACGTGATGTCGACACAAGGTTTCGGAAAGGAAGATCTTGAAGATCAGAGCACTGTCTGAGACCGTTTTTGACCCGGACCTCGGAGAGACGGACATGCGCTTTGGCACTCTGGACTCTGCGCTCTGATACTCTGTTGTTTCGTTTCGTTCTTGTCTTTTTTATTTCCCGAATCACCCTTTTCTCGTATTTTGTTTCATTCTTTTCTACGACGCATTCCCAGCAGGATGTACAAAATCCCGAGGTCTCAGGCACCACGGACGATTCTCTTACACAACAATATTCCAACATCATCACATACCAAGTGCAACGCCTGTCGCCGTGCTCTACAACTACTCGTCCACTGACACGACACACAGCAACCGTCATAGTCGCCACTCGTGCAAACAAGTGACTACCACGTCTCGATTGACGGCTGTCACTGTACAATGATCCACCCCTACCGAACAACGGCGTGACCATGTCCCTCGAGCCGTTACTGAGTGGCACCCTGTTATGGGCACTTGCAAAGTAAGGCCCAACACACATGATCGACAGGCTGACAAGGCTCGTGGCCAGGCTGCCAGGCTGGCGGAATACGTCGAGACAGACGAGAGGATTTTTTTTCTTTCCAGTTTCGACACCGCCCTCAGCGCGTTTTGGTTCCTTTTTCGTCATGCACTTGTCCTTTGCTTTGCGTCTACATGCATAGCTCGCGAATGGACGGCGTTTTAGGCTGGGCCGGCTAGCTGGATTGGCATTCACACTCAATGTCTTTTTGATTGTCAGCTGTCGTCCGAGCCCGGATGGGTTCATCATATGCCACAGCACACTGTACTAGTCGAGTGGCAAGTGTACACTGTACTTTTTTGTCTTGACAGCCGTCTCGGTGCTCCAACTCGGTATCCGAACCGACGGACTGACACGAGCTGAGCCATGACAAGCAATGACAAAGTGGAGAGAGACTGAGGAACAAGGGGGCAATGCAGGACAAAAAAAAAGTACCCTGCGTTTGAAATGAGGAAATTACAAAGACAAATCCCGTAAAGGACAGAAGAGAAAAGATGGAGAACAAAAGAAAAAGAAAAGAAGACAAAAACAAAGGAGAAAAAAAAGGGAATAAAAGGAATAAACGCAAGGAGCAAACCAAAACATGCCCCATTTTCTTTTTTGTTTTGCGCCGTATGTCATACTCCATAATTACAGCTCTCCCAGGCCACACCATCTGCAGCGTGACTTCCCAGGGTCCGTGATCCGAGGCACTTT